GTTGCTTAAAGCTAAATTGTGGAAAAACTGTACAAGATATCAAAAAACTGAGTACAACTTTAATAGTCGACAAGTGAATGAACATTTTAAAGCAAAAATGAGGTCTCTAGGTGAAAGTATGCTGAAGTTATAAGGTCTAGAAGGTGGAAGAATAAAAGGAAGAAGTGGAAGATTTCCCCATTGACTTCAATGTTAAAATTTTTGCACAAAAAGTTAAAAAAAAACAAAAAGTATAAAGGGTAGAAAGAAAAAAAATACAAGCACACATGTCCTGAAGGAGTGGAATAGTTTAAAGTTTGAATGGTTGAAATCGGACAAAGTTTGAAGGAGGAGAAGCGTGACAAAAAACGGCGGAAGAATAAAAATAAGACTAGAAAAATTGCATTTCCTTGCAGAAAATGCGTGGAAATGCTGAGTGCTGAAAGCTGAAAAAGCAATGCTAAACTGCTAATAAAACATGGAGAAATGTATAAATGTTAAAGCTGTTGAAGGGGTGTGAAAGAAATGTAAGTTGGATAATTGATTAATTGGTTGAAGGACAAATAGTATGAATATGCTCTAAAAAAAAGAAATTTTATTCATGCTGAAAGAGGCTAGAAAAATGTCTAAAATTGCACAAAGTTTGAATGAAGAAGGAAATTGCCTTAAAAGGCAGGAAGGTGGGAAGTGGCATAAGTTTAATTTTTGAAGTATTAGAAAGGTTTGAATCAGTTTGAATCAGTTCAAATTAGTTTGAAAAATTAAATGATAAATCATCACTGAGTGACTTTAAAATGTGAAAAATCTAAATGTATATAAATCCTAAATACACCCCATAATGTCCTCAATGAGCTCAAATTTTAAAGCCCTGAATGGTTTCTGTAGGTCAAAGGTCATGTGAGGAGATAGGGGCTGAAGTTTTTTCAAGCGCTCTAGTAAAGGGTTTTAAGTGTCATCCCCAGTGCTATGTGTGCTGAGCCTGGCTTCATGTGTCTCATATGGCCATTAGAAGCAGCTTTCCAGTCAGCTGTGTGTCTCCAGGTGCACTAATTGGTTGCCATGGGGACCTTGGATGCATAACTATAGCAGGAGAAAGAAGGCTTGAAGCTAAGGAAACAGGACTCCAAGTAGGCCCTGACGCTCATCCTCTGTATCTATTCCTGATAAGGAGCTTGTGAGAACACAAGACTCTGCTAAACACATTAATACAATTTATTATCACAATCCTCAAAACACCCCATAATATCTTCAATGAGCTGAATTTTAGAAGCCCAGAATGGTTTCTGTAGCTCAAAGTTTGTGGGTGGAGATAGGTGGCGAAGCAGACACATATTAACTGTGTGTACAAGCAGCTGAACTGCAAGGTAGACCTCATAAAGCAACAAGTACAAGAATGTGTGTGTGTGTGTGTGTCTCGTTAATGACTGCATCCTAAACAGCTGTAAGATCAAAGCCATGAACTGACCTATTGTTTGAATGGAGAAGCTGCTGAACTGCAGTGAATTTAGGGTTCTGAACTTCTTCACATAGCACGATTTCCTTAAGTCCCAGAATGAAAATAAGAACATCGTACAAATCCTCCGCCCTTCATGAACACAATGATGTGTTTTTCATGTCTGTACTCCGAAAAATGTCGCCACAACAGCGAGTTAAAAAAGTCTGAGCCTGAGTGGCGATAAGGATTTTCTTGGAGAAAAAATACATTAGAGCCAATGGGGAGAGATTTCCGCCTATTTGGACAGTTGGTCACCTGCTGGCCAAGGGGTAAGATTTAATGATTTGAAACCTCTTTTGTGAGAAGCAGGACACATATACCTCCATTTTGATGTATTTTTTATGGCTGTGGAGTGAGATTTGTGGGCGTGGGAGCGATATATTCGAGCGAGGTTCTGTCGATCAGAGAGGAGGTCTGCACTCTAGCTTTTCAAATCATCACTCTAGCCTCTCCAATACACCCCTATTATAAAGCCTGAAATTAGCTGAAATCCACAAGTTGCATAAAGCTAAATTGTGGAAAAACTGTAAAAGATAGCACAAAAAGGTTAATACAACATCAATAGTCGACAAGACAATGAACATTTTAAAGCAAAAATGAGGTCTCTAGGTGAAAGTATGCTGAAGTTATAAGGCTTAGAAGGTGCACGAATAACAGGAAGAATTGGAAGATTTCCCCATTCATTTCTATGGGAAAAAAGTTTGGAACAAAAAGTGAAAAATAATAAAAAGTACAAAGGATAGAAAGGAAAAAAATACAAGCACACATGTCCTGATGGAGTGGAATAGTTTAAAGTTTGAACGGTTGAAATCGGACAAAGTTTGAAGGAGGAGAAGCGGTCCAAAGAAACGTATGGGGAGAGTGTTAAGTATAATACTAGAAAAATTGCATTTCCTTGCAGAAAATGCGTGGAAATGCTGAGTGCTGAAAGCTGAGAAGACAAGCATGCAAAACTGTGAAAAAAATGGAGGAGAGTATAAATGAAAAAAACTGTTAAAGGGGTGAAGTGTAATAAGTAGAAGTTGTGTGAATGTTTAAACCCTAACAGAACTGAAGAAGAAGATAATGAAAAAGAGTTATATGGATGTAAAAACACTGGGAGAGGTAAACCAGAAGCTGTATGAATATTCAGATTGCTTAAGAACTGAACTTGAACATTACAGAAAATATGGTAAAGAATTTTAAAGATGGCTGAAAAGGCCTTCATGTTGGAAGAAGTAGAAATGAATGTAAATTAGACATGAACACATTACACAAATATATTTAATTTAAAATTTGCATCAACTTAAAAAATTAAAACTGAGTTTTTACATAAGTAAAACCAAAAGAAAGAAAAAAAGAAAAAGAAATTGTCAATCCTTTAACATTTTGTGAGCAATGAAATGATTAATCATAAAACATAAAAAAAAAAATTAAAACAAAACATCAAAACATAAACACATAAAGAAACAATGTTCCATAGTGCCTTAAATCAAATTATAAACAATTTGTTTGTGAACAGGTTTTGGAAGCAGAAATCTTTACATGGGTGACCAATCTGTCTCTTAAGCCTGAGGTTTTAAGATTGTAGTTGCTGTGATTGTTGATGGACAAAGGTATCACATTTTCAGTTGTTTCTAATATTGTTTAGCCCAATCATTAAAGGCTCTTCATACGGTGCTTAGACTGAGGCTAACACCCCATTATTTACTGGATTCAAACTCCAGCAGCCCTGGACCCACATTCACCTCTTTTCTTGTGTATTCGGATTACTAAGCCTTAAAAGTTGGCTCATAAAATTTGTCATGGCACATTAAGCCAAGTCCTGTGTTGTGGGCTTTAAAGACAGACCTTGAAATTTGATTTCAAAGTCTGATACAGGACTGTTATGCGTGTTTTTAAGGGTTTAGATTAGCCTAAGACTAAGTTTGCACATCTGAAAAACCTTTATTATACCTATACATTAAAAAAAAATATGAAAATGGTGACTTGAGAGTTATAAAAAAAATAGTTACTAAAATCGGTCAGCAGTATAACAACATAAATGTGAAACACAACAAGTATAGAATAAATGTAAAATAATGTGAAGGGTAAGGTAAAGAATGCAAATGCAAATAATGCAAAGTTATCCAGGCTTGTGGAAATATACAGGCAAAGTAAGGTGAAAGGCATATGAATTAAATACGGCATTGTAGTATTTTTTAAAGCTAACTGCAGTGAAATGTGGGCCCTCTCATGTAGAAAAAAAAGAAAATTATAGAATAATAAATGATTATAATAATAAAATTAAATGATATGAAACTGAAACATTAAACAAAATCTAAAATGATCAGATTAAAAAGTAGATTTGATAACTTGAAATAAATTGATGTAATGTATTGGTCCACCTTACCACCAAAAGGCTTTTCACACTAGACCAAGGCTAGTACTGTCATCAGCTCATTGTAGTGGACTGACAATCTTGTCAGCAAAAATAACTCAGCAGTTTACTGTACAGTGTAGTACAGAAGTCTTTTACAGAAATGAAAATATTTTTTTTTAATTAAATCTAAATTTAAAATTTAAAATAATGTGGAGGGTAAGGTAGAGAATGCAAATGCAAAAGGTGCAAAGTTATCCAGGCTTGTGGAAATATACAGGCAAAGTAAGGTGAAAGGCGTATGAATTAAATATGGCACTGAAGTATTTTTTATAGCATGTATTGGTCCACCTTACCACCCAAAAGGCTTTTCACAGTAGTTAGACCAAGGCTAATACTGTCACCAGCTCATTGTAGTGGACTGACAATCTGGTCAGCATTTTAGATACCAGTGTTTTCTTATCCAAACATTCACACTACTTGTCTTACTGAAATGCTGGGTTGTCTTCACGTTGATAGTTTCTTTTTAAAAAGTTTTCTACTATGGAGAATTACATTTTAAGGATAAGCATAAAAACTTTGTTCCTATGTGAAATCCCTTCACACAGCTCGTTAAACCAAGCCCTGTGTTTGAGGATTGTGACGACAACCTTCAGCAGGGATTGTTTCACACTGTAATGCTGGGATCACTTCTGTCCAAAACATTAGCCCAAGACTAAGCACACGTGAAAAATTTCAGTGTACCTACCAGCTGAAACCCAAAGTAAATCATTTATTTCTAAAACACGACTTCTCTTGTAGGTAAATTTGAGGGATATGGTGAGCATATTAAAGCGAGAAATTCAGCTGCCTGCAACAACTGAAGTAACTGGTATTTTTTCCCTTCATCAGTGTTGGTCATCTTTTGATATAAGGACAGATACACAGTAAAAGGGGAAGAAAATACTCAAATAAAATAGAACAAATAAAGTCCAAGAAACATAAAGGAAACTTAAAATATTAACAGATATCGACAATCGATCACTTAATGTAGAAAACAGGATTCAAAACAATACAAGAGTAATAGTTGTCCTGTCCTGAAGACAATCAGTCAGTTCCTCAAGTGAGTACTATGTTCTGTCTGGGCACTTTTTTTCAAAACCAAAAGCAGAGCCCAGTACAGTTCAGAGTAAAGGTTTAGAGTGAGGTAATGTTTTGACCTTTGACCTGTGGTTGTAGGATCGCTGTGTGCAGTTATCAGTGTTCGAGTTGACAGCATCACTGGAGTCAGAGGCAGGAGGAGGAGAGGTCTGAAAAAAACAAACAAAATCCCCTTCACTTTAACTCTGTAATCCTGTGCTAACAGTAATTCTGTGCTTTTCTATGTTGGTCAAACATGGTTTTTGTTATGGGGCAAGGAAATACACCGTTACCTCTGGGAAAGTTTAAAGCTGCAGTAAAGATAAACTGATGATCTGAATGTGTTGACATCTGCTGCAGCTTGCTTCATAGGGCTGCAGGACTTGAAGGATCACCATTAGTAGGACTCTGCTGAGCTGTACTGGCTACACCGTGGATGAACAGACAGTGACTTGAAGTAGGAGAATGTAGCTGGTTCAAAACAGGAAATAAACAGAAACATTTGTGTTGATAATCTGTGAAACTAAACACGTTGAATAAATACACACATCATTACAATGAATACCTTCAGCACTGCAGCAGAGCAAAAAATATTTCTGTCCAGAGCAACTTCACCAGGTCTGCAGCAGCAAAGAGCACAGAGAGGCTCAAGGCTCAGGGTGGCTGCATGATGTCCATCTTTGGTGCGTTCAGCTGCCTGAGTGTCTAAGCTGTTCTTCCTCTCTTAACTGGCTTGAAGAAGACCTGGGAGAAAACACTGCTGTTAAAGACGATGATATCAGCAGAGCTGCACAATAGCGTCACAAGCATTAATACAGCAGCTAAGATAACTAAGTTCACCAAGACATTACCTCAGACTTTCTTGAAGAGGGGTTTGTCTCTTGGAGGTTCAGCAGGAACGAGCCAAGTGAGTGACAGGTACTACAGCATCAGTTCTGCTTCAGCCTGGTGTCTGGTGGTCCTTGAGAGCTGCTTCAGGACATCTGGAGCACGAGCAGGTAAAACACATGTTTGTGTAGTCCATGAGAGAAGGGTCCTGGTGGGTGCTGCAGTCTGTCCAGCACAGCGATGATGGTTGTTGAGAGCAGCAGGGGGATGGTGTGGAGGATGTCATCTCTTCTTCACCTCCGACCAAAGACTGGGTTAAACAGCAAGTAGACTGTGTCTTTGAGTGGTCCAAAGTGATGTGTTTACTTCTGGTTGACGGTTTGGTAATTTTTTTCTGCTCACAGTGAGCTAGTCAGGACAGCACTAATGGTCAGGACAAAGATGGTAGAGACAACTGAAGAAGAAAAAAAAAATACCCAAACAAAAGGAAACTTGGCTTTACTCTACTGTACCTACAGGTGATGTGTTTACTTTTGGTTGACAGTTTGATAATATTTTCAGTTTACATTGAGCTAGTTTGGACATCACTAATGGAGGTCAGGCCAAAGATGTAGGATACAACTGAAAAAATAGCAATAAAAAGAAACAAAACATACCCAAAGGAAAGGAATCTTATGTTTGCCCTAGTGTACTTACAGCCACCCATGCTAAGAGAGTAGTGTAAAGTTGGGTGGAGAAAAGGGGGGTTTCAGCTGGTAGGTCACAGAACATCAGAAAGTGTGTGTTCATTAGGGAACACACACTTTCTGATGGAGGTTTTTAATTTTTGCTGCTGTATACATTATTGTACACAGCAGCTGAGAGTTTTGGCCTGTGCATTTATCAATCCGCACCCACCCTCCCTATGTCCAGTCAAGTCAAGTTAAAAGGATTAACTTGACTTGACTGGACTTGATAAATGCACAGGCCAAAAAATAAGATTTATTACATTTGAATAGTTAAAAATTGTACTACCTGAAAATGTTGAAATTAAGCCATAAAAAATTTTTTTGCACTAGAAAATTTTAAATTGCTAAAAAAATTTCAATCTGTACTAATAAAAATATAGACATAACATTAGCCACAACTTCTCTGGTTTGTCTTTCCCTTCAAAGCAGTTTCCCTTTATGACCTGAAATGACACAGTGAGTGGGATTGTGGTTACTATAGCAGGTCTGCAGGATACCTGAGGCAAGACATTGCTGCAGTTGTGAGTTAAATGGATTAACTTGTCTGGACATAAGTGCAAAGGCCAAATATCATAACTTTTAACATTCAAATAGCTGAAAATTGTACAACCTGAAAAATGTTGCCTTTCTAAAAAATTCCGCCATAATTTTTTTTTTTTTTTGCATTCAAAAACTTACAATCACCAAACACCAAATGGGCACTGAAAATATAAGCAGAACATCAGCTAAACCCTCTGTAGTTTGTCTTTTCCTTCAGAGCAGTTTCCTCTATGACCTGTTGGATGAAATGACACAGTAAGTGGCGTTGTGGTAACTGTAGTACGTCTGCATGATACCTGAGGAGAGACATAGCTGAGGTCGTGAGATGAAGATCAGGTCCAGCAGTGTGTTCTTGTCCGTTGTAGCAGCAGTGATCAGTTGACCATATCCCTTGGACTGAAAGAAATCCAAAATTGGCTTACTTGCATTAGAAAAGAGATTCTCATTGAAGTCGCCACAGACGATGATGGGATGACAGTCCATGATCTCAAGTGAGTCCAGAAGGCTTCCCAGATTGGACAGGAATGATGGCACACTGTAGTCTGGAGGTCTGTACACAGCTGCAATCAGAGCACTTACAGGAGATTCAACCTTCAAAGCCACAAACTCAAGGTCAGTCACATTGTTCAGGTACTGTTTCTCCACAACCTGCAAGTGGTTTTTCACATAAACAGCGACTCCACCACCTCCTTTACTGGCCATCTGTGGAAAGTTAGTGTAGGACAAATGTCTGTTGCGTTTGAACATGGTGTAGCCCTCAAACTGGAGACTGTCCGCCACAAAGGAGCCCTGTAGGTGAGTTTCTGTCAGACACAAAACATCTGCAAGACACAGTTCATGATGGCTTTTGATGTCATTCACATGAGCAGGTAATCCTTCGGTGTTGTGATGAATGATGCTCACAGTGTCCTGTCTGCTGAGAGAATGCTGGATCTGGAGAAAAGGCATGAGGTGATCAAAGTTAGCTTGCGTCATGGTCTCCAAAGATACAGTGACTGCAGGGTTAGCATGGATTTTACTCTCATCCAAATCAAGCATGTGCAGTCCGCTGAGAGAGGTCACTCGACTGATAGCTACGTAGGCCATGCCGGGCTCAAAAATGTGCTTCAGTGAGACAACAGTTGATTTTCTGGTCATACCTTGAACCTTGTGTATCGTGCATGCAAAGGCAAGTTTCACAGGAAACTGTCTGCGTACCACTCCTTTCTGTTGCAGAGCCTCTTCAGATCTCTCGATGTACACAAGATTGTCTCCTCGAGTACGATAGCTCCTGCCAGCTGTTTCATCATCCATCCTGAGACCAAGCATAGTGACAAGAGCAGAACCTGTTGTTTTCAGAGCTTATGAGACGGCCCTACTGTAGCAAATGATCCGTTCACCAATCCTTGAGACACATCAATGTTTCTGGTAAGCATGACTCTAGCACCTACTGCAACATCTAGGGTGTCAGGTAGATCATTTCTGCTTCCATGACATGGTGCACCTTGTCTTTTCATGTGTCCAGTGTGTGGGTCTTTTTTAAAGTCATCTGCATCAATGGTGGTGATATCAGAATGGAGCAGAGATAGTGTAGCAGAGTTGTGTGCTGCGACTTGTTTGTTTGTAGCAAAAATGTGCAGGACATCAGAGGGACACAGTTGTGGTTCAGTGACACGCTGTGACAGCAGATCTCTGTCAGCTTCAGAAAGCTCATCTGACCTTGTTTTCACACGGAGTCTGTTCAGCATCTCGGCAAAAGTTTTGTCATCCTTCTGTCGCATGATCTCATCCAAAGTGATCACCTGGAAGTTGTCTCTCCAGAGGTCAAGCTCACTTGGATCATAGACACAGAGTGGTTTGGACTGTCGCACAGGCGGTAGCTGGTAAAAGTCTCCCACAGCAATGACTGACATTCCTCCAAAGGGTTTGTGGCTGCCTTTAATCTGTTTCAGTCTCACATCCACATAGGCAAACAGAGGCTTCGACACCATGGAGATTTCATCAATGATGATGATTTCAGCATTTAAAAGCTCACACCTGATTTCATCAAGTTGGTTCCCAAGACCTTGAAAAGGAGGTTTCAAACTTCTGGGCAGCTTGAGGAGAGAGTGCAGTGTTGTTCCAGAGATGTTAAAGGCTGCAGTTCCGGTGAAAGCAGTCAACAGCACAGTCGGGTTTGAGATGTCAGCTTCTTCAGCACGTGTAGGTAGTGTTCTCAGAATCTTTGATGCTTCTGAATGAATGCATTTAATGAGATGTGACTTTCCAGTGCCAGCACCACCATTGATGTAGTAGAAAAACTGCTCTGGTTGTGGTCCACAGACTCGTTTTATGCACCAGTCTCTCTTACTGCATAGAACACACATGCCTGTTTCTGGTTCAGACTCTGATACATTTGTCGTAACCGTGTGGGATCGATTGTAGGGGGCTCTCTCATGACTCTGGCCTCTGTAGCAGCATTTGCTTGTCTGCTGTAATCCGGTACATCCTCTTGGACATTTTCACACTGTCTGGCATCCAGTTCATCGATACACTCCAACCTCACCAGTTCAGATTCAGGTGCCAAATTACACCATTCATCGACCACACCTCTGTTCTGTTCAAAGTCCTCGAGAGCAGAGTCAATTTCCTCACTGTTTTTTTCATATCTCTCTCTGTTTCTTTTCACAATGAGTTTCACACTCAGGGGTCGGTCAGAATACGGCAGCTGAACCACACCTCTCTCATAGAATGACTCATACGTGGGAAAATATGGTCTTTTCAGCTCATCGTCTGATCTGTATGGAAGATACAGTCTAAGCAATGTGCCGTAAAACTGCTCAGGGTATTTCTCTTTGGATATGCGGCGATACCTGATGACAGCAGCGTTGTCACTTTCTCGTCTCTGTATAAAGCCTAGTTCATTCAGCAAAGGTACCACTTTCTTGCCCTTGGTCTGTTGTCCATACACCAGTCTGCAGGTAGAAGCAAAATCAGCCATGCACATCTCTTCAAACTCTGGTGATTCAGGTCTGGATTTGTACTTGTCTGTTAAGGATGTCATCCACACATTCAAGCTGTCTGGTGTTGTGTTGTCAAGGCTTGACACAGGCAGACTCATTTTCACTGGGTTGTCATCAGTTGGGACAAAAACCACACTGCGTGAACTCTTTTTCATGTTCAGTGAAGTCACTCGGGCAACAGCTTCTTGTGCTGATACTTCTCGCTTTTTGGAATACGCCTGCATGACCGCTTTCATTTCATCACATTCATTGACACATTCTCTGTCGGAGTTCTGAATGAGTGTTTGCAGGTACTGGCTCACAGAGTTCTCACTTTTACACATGTACGTACATATGTAATGGATCAGACTGTAGTAGCTGAGAATGAACTGCACGTCAATGTTTGCATCCCAAGCTTTGAGCAGGTGAGGGTTGTAGGTGTTTACCCAGCAGTCTTTTGGCTCACGCTTCAGAATGATGTTGCTGGACTGACTCATCACATTCATGTGTTTCTCATACTCATCAGCGGTTAAGTCACAGACAGACAGGAGCTGTTGAAAACTCATGGATTCAGTTTGTGTCTCATTCAGCAGCTGATTCAGTGGTGCAAGTTTCTCTTTGGCTCTCTTAAGTCTCTCTGACTCCTCATCATCACCCACAGGTCTTGTTATCATTGTCTGTCTGGAGGGTGGTTTTGGGAATCCAAATCGGCATCCAGAACTTGCACTTTTGAAACATGTCTTTGAGTGGTTCTTACTGTGTATTTGCACTTCTTTGACCTTTTTGTACAGTTCAGGCTGTTTATTTGGGTCAGGGAGCTGAGCAGAGATGTGTTTGGACACAAAGTCACACACAGTTTTGTCAGAGTCTCTCTCAAACACAGGTGCACCTTCTACCCACAAAAGACCATGTATATGAGGACTTCCTCTGTGCTGAAACTCGAGACGCCAAAAGAAGTCAAAAACTTTGCCCAGGGGTTGTGCAGGAGACATGATCAGATCTCTGTACAGTGCTTCAACACGCTTATCAAACATGCGCATCGTTGTCACAGGATTGCTTCTCAGAATGTCACACTTTGTGGACCAGTCGAGCTCTTCAAAATTCACCTCCTCACCTTGTTGTGATTTTATTGCAATAATCACCTCAGGCCAACGCATTTCTGCTGCAGAAAATGTGACAAAGAAAGTAGGACTGCCCAACTGTCTGATCATAGCAAACAGATCTTTTGTAGTTTTGTCCCAGTAGGCTGGTGTTCCTCTGAGCGGCTGCATAAATCTGATAGCATCTCTGTTTCTCACCAGTCTCTCCACTTCGTATTTGTCTCTCAACATTCTGGATGTTATTTTACGTCCGTCTCTGGTCAAAGGTTTGCCTTTGCGTAACTGTATGGACATGCTGGAGGTAGCCAAGTGTATTTCGGTCACAAACTGTGCAAAGAACAGGTAGTTGGTATCTCTGGCAAAGCGATCATCAACACCAAAGAGCCTTGCTTTAAAATAACTACTGGGTGATAGTTTCATTGGTCTGTTTTCATCCAGTGTATTCTCACCAGTGGGAAACTGAACAGGAAACGCCATGGCCTCTAGTTTGGGAGTTTTGAAAAAACTGACTGGATTGTTTCTCTCTGCTGGAGCTACTGAGTATGTAGAGTCACTGAAACACAAAATCTCCTCAGAAACATCACGTGGCTGAAGGCACGACTCCAAAACAACACCACCATTAGATATGTCTGCATCCTGTTGTTGTGTCTGATCATCATTGTCCTGGGTCTGACTTTTATTACACAGCTCTGTGTTGTCGTCCTCAGTTTCAACATTAGTTTCAGCCTCATACATGGCAGCAGCCTCAATTCTATCAATCTCCATCAAATCCTCATCATCATAGTCATCATCATTCATTGTGTTATCATCATCATCCTCATCACCATCACCATCATCAGGAAGTGTGGGGTCACATAACTCCTCCTCATCTCTAATAGTGATGTCTTCATACTGGGGGTGTATCTCTTTCAGTGTATGCAGAGCCTGCACTAGCTTGGACCAGGTAACAGTCTGAAACAGATGGTGACCTCTGTAACTCAAGCGTCTCTTCAGTTTTACTCTCATCACCTGAGATTCATTTCTCAATCTTGGTAGAGCCTGAATTGTTTCCTGGACTTCAGAGGGAACACATACAACATTACCATGTATAGCTCTCTGTCTGCCTTTGGGAAGAGGAATGATTTTGGCAAATGTTATGCACTTTGCTATCAGATGTCTCTCCAGTATGTTGAGGTCACACAGCTCAGGTGGTATGTCAGCAAGCTCCAAGTTGTTTGCTATGGCAAGTTTGGGCATGGATCCATTTTTCAGATGGTCATGGCAGGTGTGACAAATCCACTCAGTCTTTCTCTCATCAGGGACAGTGCAGTGATTTCTGCAGTTATCATTACACTCATGGACGTACTGACCTTTGAGACAAGCTGAAACCATGATTGGATTTTTCACATAGTTGGACCTCTTGCACTTTTGCACCTGGTTTGGAAATGAGGCTTTGTGACAAACTGTGCAAACATGGGTGGGACCAGCTTTAATGTGTGATCGGAAATCATTTATGGCACTTTCAATAAGTGGGTTTTCACTCTCTCCGTCAGTCTCACATGTTTGTCTACTTATCTGTTTGTATTTCTTTGATATTTTCAATGCACACCTCATTTTATGCATAGTCCTGTATGCAAGATTTGTCTTATACCTGTCTCGCATCATTTGTCTCATCAGTTGTCTGTGTCGGTGATGGAATGTTTCATCATTTGAATATCGATGATTGAAGTAGGATCGCTTTCTTTGCCGGAAATCAACATCCTCTGAGTATTTTTTCCTGAAATATTCTTTTCGTCTGCCTTTAAAATCAACATTTTCTCTGTATTTTTTCCTGAAATATAACTTTTGTCTGCCTTTAAAATCAACATTTTCTCTGTATTTCCTTGTGATATATTCTTTTTGTCTGCCTTTAAATTCAACATTTTCTTTGTATTTCCTTGTGATATATTCTTTTTGTTTCAGTCTGAAGTCTGTGCTCTCTCTATATTTAGTTGTGATCTTTTGTCTTTTCTTTGTCTGTATCTCAGGATTTACAGAGTATATGTTACTTGAATAAGACTTTTTCTTTGCTTTATATATTTCATCCTTTGAATACTTTTCTCTCTCTTTCCTTTTCTGATTTTCTTTCTTTTGTGATGTCTTGTCAGATGCCGTTAGTCTCCTCTTATATTTTTTCCTTTGTTGTTTGGTCATTTTTGATAGTTTAATGGTGATGTCATGGACAACATTGTCACTTGTCAAACGGATATTTTTCAATGGTTGACTCAAATTTGATTGTGTCTCTTGAGTTTCTTCTGATGTGACAGAATTCATGCTGGTTTGACCTGGTTGATGAGCTTGTGTTTCCATCAAAGTTGAGATTTTCTGTGATGTGTCACGACAGTCATCACTTACAGTAGTGTTCATCTCTGGAGCGAGGGATTCAGGACCAGTTAATGTGACAGAACACTGGCTGAAGTCGATCAGTGGCTCTGGTTCAGTTTCCATGTCGCATTCAGTGTTTTCATGGACATCAGTGTTCATCTGTGGAGCACTTGTGTCATCATTTATCATAGTGGTTGTTACAGAGGGAGTTGTGGATGGACTTTCTGTGGCTGGGATAGCATCACTTGGGTTCACATCACAGAACACAACTGGCTTGAGCTCATAGCGACAGGACGCTGCTGTGCCCAATATGTGGTGATACCTGATGAGCCTGGCAATCATGTCACTAAGGCGTGTGAATGTTACCATGACAGCGGTACCAGGAGTAGGTGTGGCTTTAAGCAGAGGCAAACCGTTAGCTGTCCTAGCATGTGGGTCAAAGAAACCGTACCTGCCATCTCTGGTTCTGAAAACTGCAATGCACAGTGAAGTCATTAGCAGCAAAGCATACTGCACATCTGATAATAAGCAGCTCAGTCCTGAAACGAGGTCCAGAAAGGTATCAACAGCACCGGGATCCGGATCTCCAAACGTACCGTATCTAGACAGCTGTAACTTGTCAAAAATCTGCGTGTGTCTGCGTGCAGGAACCTCTTTAGGGAGCTCATCGGTTGTCAGATAGACGTGATCACGAACAGTTTTCCTGACTTCTCTGTACATCACATCACCTTTATCCAAAACACGGTCCAGATCTGCTCTGGTGATGTGTTCTCTCTCATACAGGAATGCTAGAAATGTCAGTGAGTTACAAGTGCACTGCTGGTTCCTGGATTGGCCGTATTTCAGAGATGCTTGGCTGCGTGACGCACAGACGTTTTGTTCACCTGACTGATTAACAGCGTTCTCATTTCTTACCTGAGAAGAGCCTGATACAGACTGATAATTACTGTGGTTTCCCTTCTTAACAGTGTCTGCACGTGATACCTGGGTTGAGCATGGCTTTTCAGTTTGGGCTATGTAGTTCACCTGATGAGAGTTAGAAGGACCTGCTGCAGGTGACTCACTTACACGTCTCCTCTTAAGCACGTCTGCATAAGATACCTGTGGTTGACATGATGCATTTTCACCTCCCTGTTTCACAGCATCAGACACTTCAGACCTCTTTACCTCTCCACTGCTCTGAGGAATACCATCTGCTTGTCCAGTACTCACACGGTCAATGTCATGAAACCTCTGCCAGCGCTGGCTTGCAACCTGTGACCTCTTACTCTTCCTTGGCATTGTAACTGTTCTTTCACAACAATGTGTTTATGCAACAATTAAAAGTTACTGATAAGCACCAGTATAGACAAAAATGCTTTATTTCTTCAAGAGGACGTTATTTACAGCTCTTATAGTCTCCAAAAAATCTAATTTATAACTGTGTGTATACCAACAATAGTTTATCAAATGTTTTCTAAGGAAATCCTAGGCAAGACTATGTAAATGTTTGAAGAAAAAACACAAATCAACAATTTTTTAATCTTAAAACTTTGTGTTTGAAATACTATGCAACTCAAATATTCTATATAAAACGTGTTTTTATGTTCTTTCAAAGTCAGGTATGCAGATGTGGTGTAGCTGACGACACGTCTTCTGGCGAAGCTCTGGATTCACAGACAGGAGAGGAGGACCTAGAACAACAATCAGACTTGTGCAAAATTAGGGATTTTTCAAAATAGTGGTTGTATTAAATGTACTTCCGTTTCAAAAGTTTTGACTCAAAGAAAGGTTGCTTGTTTCAAAAGGTTTCTCAAAATAGGTTCTCAAAATAGGTTCTCAAAATAGGTTCTCAAATGTTCTGCAAAGTTCTGAAAAGTTCTGCAAAGTTCTGAAATGTTCTGCAAAGTTCTGAAATGTTCTGCAAAGTTCTGAAAAGTTCTGCAAAGTTCTGCAATGAGTCAGAGTGGGATAGAAGGGGGATAGAAAGACAGAGTTGCTTTTCAATCAGACAGAGTGGTAGAGGAGACAGGAAAGACAGAGCGTCCAAAACTTAGCCAGAGGGATAGAAGAAAGGGGGACACAAGACAGAGTGCTTTTCAATCAGACAGAGTGGTAGAGGAGACAGGAAAGACAGAGCGATCAAAATGATAGGGGAGAGTGGGGAGACTGGACAGGATACCTGTAAGACACAATGGAAACAAACATTAATCCCTTTTTATTAAAGAAATAAAATAAAATAAACCAACATCCACCCAAAGCTAATGGCATCATAATGTACTTTTACTCAACCCATCAAGTGGCTGTCTTCAATTATACATCTATCAAAAGTCAAGTTGAGTCAAAAGCTGGAAGTGACCATTGTCTTGTTCGATAACCCTTCAAACAAATTAATAAGGACTAAAAATCCAAAGTGTTCATTATAGTTAATCAAAAATTAATTTAAGATACGAAGAACTTTATTTATCCCCTAAGGGAAATTCAATTGTCTATAGTCTCATTTGTCACGTCTGAAAAAGTCATCTACTATTTAAATTGTAGAGTCTCATGGCTGTGGGTACAAAAGATCTTTTGAATCTTTTTTTCCTGCAGCGAAGAGAGAGGAGCCGTCCACCACCATAGGCCTTTCGGTCCACCAAGGTGTTGTGAAGTGGGTGAGCCATGTTCTCTAGAATAGCCTCCACCTTCCTCACAGTACATCTCTCCACCACATCCTCCAGTGAGTCAAACTTGAATCCAACCACAGAGCCACCTTTTTAAATTTAGGACCTCAAAGTATTTTACAAAAAGTTCTATTATCCCTGTGTATTTTAGACTCTTTAAGTACTTTAAGTTCCCTTTATAATGTTCATAACCATGTCCTGCTAAGCAAAAGTAACAATGGATTACTCTGCTGATAAAATATTATGTATTTTGGAGAAGGTAATTTCCTTTACTGTGTTTTAAGTATTCCAACAATGTAAAAAGTAGTAATGAGGCCAAGCACCTCCATGAGCTGTAAACAGAAGCATGCAAGGTACCTTAGAAGGATATACACATATCTAAACATAGGATTAAATGAATAATAAAATAAATCAATGGCTGCATAAATAATGACTGTCTATTCCATATTAAAGAACATTAAATTTGCTTGTTTTTTTTAATATGAGAGATGCACAAAGGAGGGAATCACATTCAATTAGTAATTATTTGGATTTTCATCGTTAAAAAATTCCAACTCCACAATCTAATAGTAATAAATTGCTTTCCAGGGATTGGAAATGAAATGCAAATAAGTGTACTGCATATTACATTCAAGCTGTTCATTTCCAACTGTGAGTATTACATAATCAAAGGAAACAAATTGTTAAGTTAGGACATGATGAGGGGTCCATAATGTGTTGAATAATGGCACACTGTATTACTCATGAAAATGTAATTCCTGTGTGAACTTACGTCGAGTCGCCACAAAGCGGTCTGCACTTGGAGACAGGACAAAGTTGGCAAAAAGAAAAATGGAAAAATAGAGACAAGAGATTTTTAGTTTAATTGTATCTCACTGCATTGCAGTTTCAACTGTAGTCAGCCGGCAAAATTAATTAAGTGTTATTTAAAATGGTTTGTGTTACAATGAAAATGTGTTGCAGTTTGTCAAATAAGAACATAATGTCAGGTTTAAATGTTTAAAAAAGTAACAGTGTAAACATTTTTAAGTCACTTTATTTGTGAACTTACAGCTGAGTCGCCAACGTTGAACTGGGCCCGCAGTAGAGACAGCGTCGAGTTCAGGAGAGGAAAGACAGGGACAAAAAATGAATAAATTTAGTTGCAAAAAAATCAGCATCTTATAGTTTACTGCAATCACAAGTTTTCACTGTGGATCATTAGTTTTCTCATTTCTTATCAAAGTCTACAATTTGTGGCACTTGAATAGTAAAAAGGATGTTACTGCAGCTCCCTTGGCCCCTTAAAAAATGTTTGTTACAATGGGGAGAAAATGCACAAACACAATGAATGACCTCTTCACTTTTTACTTTCTTATGCAAGTTATTGAGGTGAAATACAAAACAGTGAAATATAATTATAAACGGCAGAGCAAAAATGTAACATTTAAGTGATTGCCCAATAAGTATATATATACCATCAGGTCCATAAATATTGGGATGTCAACACAATTCTCATCTCTCTGGCTGTTAACACCACCACAATGGATTTGAACTGAAACAAACATGGTGTGCTTTGACTGCAGACATTCAGCTTTAATTTAAGGGTATTTACATCGAAATCAGGTGCACGGTGTAGGGCAAAGAAGTGGAATGTTATGAAATGGCCAAGTCAATCACCTGACCTGAATCCGTTTGAGCATGCATTTCACTTGCTGAAGATAAAACTAAAGAGAAAATGCACCAAGAACAAGCAGGAACTGAAGACAGTTACAGTCGAGGCCTGGCAGAGCAACACTAGGGGTAAAACCCAGCATCTGGTGTATCTATCTGTCTTAGACAGCAAAGGATTTTCAACCATATATTGAAAAGTGAAAGTTTGATGTATGATTTTTGGTTTGTCCCAATACTTTTGGTCCCTTAAAAAGTGAGAGGCACATATACAAACTGTTTTAATTCCTACACCTTTCACCTAATGTGGATGTAAATAACCATATATTAAAGCTGAATGTCTGCAGTCAAAGCACATCTTGTTTGTTTCATTTAAAGTCAACTGTGGTGGTGTTTACAGCCAGAGAGATGAGTATTATGCTGATGTCCCAATATTTATGGACCTGACTTTAAGCGTGAACTTACACTTCAGAGTTGATAGGGATTTTCGCCCAGGTCAGAGGACAAGTTGAGGCAGGAGGAGGGGGGAGAGGGAGGGAAAGAGATTTTTAATACACTAAAAAAACCACTTCATTCAAAATTTATCTGAATGATTTTCTCACTTAATTATTGTCACAATCAAGATTCAGACTTTCGCCAGCATTTTTTGAATAAATTAGTTCAGTAGTGTAGTAATATTGTTAGCACACTATTGTCTTCTAGGAAAAAACTGTATCCCATTGATTTTCATATAGGATATACAACAGTGTTACAGATAGATCAACATTTCGTATCAATTTAAACTCAGTACTTGAAAAATGCATCATATGTTGTACATTATCTTGAATGATATGTTGTTTAACAGGATTAAGCTAATCATTAATCCACTTATTTTTGTTTTGTTTGTTGTCAGTCTTGGTCAAAACACTTATACTTACCAACAAATGCACTGGGAAGGATGTATCTTCTGTTTGTTTGAGACAAGAAACACTACATTAGTGTTGACTGAAAGATGATACATTAAAAACAATAGGCCTATAAAGAAAACTAACATTATTACAGTAGTTGGGCTAATAGAAAACTAAACAGCTCCAACAGATCACCTGGCTGTTAGCTGCAGCTGAAAATGTCACACATAATACATACTGTATTAAAGTACTTATACCTCAGATAAAGTATCTTTGCTGTGATGTTAGCACATCACCAATATCCAAATTAACAGCTTGTTATCAAAAGTAAATTAGGTACAGTAGAAGGTGAAGTTCAGTAGCAGCCAGCAAGACAGAGACAGACCAGGAGCAGGTTCACCAACTTCAAGGCAGCTAACTCTCCATCCATCAACTCAATATTAAGATAAGAACTTTATAGATCCCTAAAGGGAAATTCAACTGGAATATATTTATTAATTGGAACTTCGTATTGTTAAACATTAAATACTGAATTAATTTTATGTTTTGCAATGTAAATATCTCTAACATCCCCATCATGAATAAAACCTTCAATAATAGAGGACCATCTAGGTCCATTCTGACACATAAAAAAAAGGAAAGCCACTCACATTTGGGCTATACCTGGATGCTTGCTAAATGCAGCCTATATTTTAATACATCTACAAGACCAGACCAGTTCCCCAGCAATGACTCAGTCACAGTAATGAACTGAACCTGTAGCAATGGCGCTAGCGTCATTAGTTAGCTAGTTAGTCAGTTAATACTTGACAATATGAGTATTCTTGTCAGTCCCATTGTCAGTAAACTCCACAGCCTGTACATCATTTGGCATGCTTTATAGTACCGCAGCGGCTTACATAGTCACTTTATTTTGTGCTCAGCTGGCTAATGATTCAGCCTCACAGCTGAATGTATGTTAGCTTTAACGTTAGCTCGACGCTAGCGCCGCTAGCTCGACGCTAGCGCCGCTAGCTCGACGCTAGCGCCGCTAACTCGACGCTAACAGCGTTAGCGTACGCTCTTTCAACTCATTATCTCGACCACTTCAATCATGAATGAACTCTTCATTGATTATAACTCAAACCAGTGCCATTTGAAATGATAAATCACCGTTTGAAGTGTTCAGAAGTTAGAGAGACTGTGCTCTGACTCACCTTCGTTGATGTCGGAGAAGGATAGCGCGAGCCACCAGTGGGTCACGGTATTAATGTTTGAGGCGTTCAGGGACACTCGGAAATGTCATACTTCACACCACGGAAAGGCAGTGGTTCAATCAATTCATTTTAATAGTTTTCTAGTACTAATAGTAGCAAGACTAGTTGAAGTAGAAGTGATGTAAGTAGTAGTTGTAGAAGTGGAAGTGGGATTTTGTTTGAAGAATTGAAATATGCATGAATAGTAAAAATGATTTAAATTGGGGAAAATATAACTAATAAAAATCCTAAAGTATTAGAAAAGTTTGAAGAATCAGAGAGGTTTAAATAAGAATGAGTTTAAATTTGTTAGAAGAATTGAATAATGCATAAATAATGAGAATGATTTTAAATTAAGGACGATTTAAATGAATAGAAATCCTCTGTAGACTCCATAATGTCCTCAATGAGCTGAATTTTTGAAGCCCTAAATGTCTCTGTATCTCAAAGTTTGTGAGAGAGGATAGGTGGTGAAGCAAACACATGGTCAAAGTGTGTTCAGGTCTCATAGACAGAGAGAGACTCACGCATGCACATATTTACTGTGTGTACATGAAGGTCTCATAGAGAGAAAGAGGCTGAGGCACACACATTGGCTGAGTGTGTGTGTGTCTCGTTAATGACTGCATCCTAAACAGCTGTGAGATCAAAGGCAAATCACTGACCTGCTGTTTGAATGAGAAGCTGAGTACCTGCAGTGGATATAGGGCCTCTGAACTTCTTCACATAGCGTGATTTCCTTAAGTCCCAGAATGAAAATAAGAACATCGTACGAATCCTCCGCCCTTCATGAACACAATGATGTCTTTTTCATGTCTGTACTCCGAAAAATGTGGCCACAACAGCGAGTTAAAAAAGTCTGAGCCTGAGTGGGGATAAGGATTTTCTTGGAGAAGAAATACATTAGGTCTAATGGGGAGAGATTTCCGCCTATTTGGACAGTTGGTCACCTGCTGGCCAAGGGGTAAGATTTAATGATTTGAAACCTCTTTTGTGAGAAGCAGGACACATATACCTCCATTTTGATGTATTTTTTATGGGTGTGGATTGAGATTTGTGGGTGTGGGAGCGATATATTCGAGCGAGGTTCTGTCGATCAGAGATGAGCTCTGCACTCTAGCTGATGACATCATCACTCTAAACTCTCCAATACACACCCATTATAAAGCCTGAAAATTTGCTGAAAACCACAAGTTGCTTAAAGCTAAATTGTGGAAGAACTGTAGAAGATAGCACAAAAAAGTGAATACAACGTTAATAGCCGACAAGTTAATGAACATTTTAAAGCAAAAATGAGGTCTCTAGGTGAAAGTATGCTGAAGTTATAAGGCTTAGAAGGTGAAAGAATAAAAGGAAGATATGGAAGATTTCCCCATTGACTTCAATGTTAAAATTTTTGCACAAAAAGTTAAAAAAAAACAAAAAGTATAAAAGGTAGAAGAGTGAAAAGTAATAGCTATCATGTCCTGAAGGAGTGGAATAGTTTAAAGTTTGAACGGTTGAAATCGGACAAAGTTTGAAGGAGGAGAAGCGGTCCAAAAAAGGTACGGAAGAATAATAATAAGTTGAATAAAGAAACAGGAGAATAACAATAAGTGGAAATGCTTAATCAGCATTTCCACTTAACTAGAAAAATTGCATTTCCTTGCAGAAAATGCGTGGAAATGCTGAGTGCTGAAAGCTGAAAAAGCAATGCTAAACTGCTAATAAAACATGGAGAAAGGTATAAATGTTAAAGCTGTTGAAGGGGTGAAAAAGAAATATAAGTTGGATAACTGTTTAATTGGTTGAAGGACAAATAGTATGACTATGCTCTATAAATGGAAATTTTATTCATGCTGAAAGAGGCTAGAAAAACGTCTAAAATTGCACAAAGTTTGAATGAAGAAGGAAACTGCCTTAAAAGGCAGGAAGGTGAGAAGTGGCATAAGTTTAAGTTGTAGTACTAGAAGTAGTATAAGAGGTCAAGTCGTGATACTAGTAGTCATGTCAGCAGTAGAAGTAGTTTGAGAATAAAAGAAGTATAAGTCACAGTAGTAGAGAAAGTAGAAATAGTAGCAATAGCAGCAGTAGAGAAAGTAGAAATAGGAGCAATAGCAGTTGAAGTAGAGGGGAAAGTTCTAGTTCAATTGACATTAGCAGTAGTTGTCGTACTTGAGGTAGGATTTTGTTTGAAGGATGGAATAATGCATAAATATGAAAACTAATTTAAAACATGGAAAATTTAAATCATTAAAAATCCTCAAGTTTCAGAAATTTTTTAAGTATTAGAAAGGCTTGAATCAGTTTGAATGAGTTTAAATTAGTTTGAAAAATTAAATGATAAATCATCACTGAGTGACTTTAAAATGTGAAAAATTTAAATGAATATAAATCCTGAATACACCCCATAATGTCTACAATGAGCTTAAATTTTAAAGCCCTGAATGGTTTCTGTAGGTCAAAGGTCATGTGAGGAGATAGGCGCTGAAGTTTTTTCAAGCGCTCTAGGAAAGGGTTTTAAGTGTCATCCCCAGTGCTATGTGTACTAAGCCTGGCTTCATGTGTCTCATATGGCCATTAGAAGCAGCTTTCCACTCAGCTGTGTGTCTCCAGGTGCACAAATTAGTTGCCATGGGGACCTTGGATGCATAACTATAGCAGGAGAAAGAAGGCTTGAAGCTAAAGAAACAGGACTCCAAGTAGGCCCTGACGCTCACCCTCTGTATATATTCATAAGGAGCTTGTGAGAACACAAGACTCTGCTGAACACATTAATACAATTTATTATCACAATCCTCAAAACACCCCATAATATCTTCAATGAGCTGAATTTTTGAAGCCCAGAATGGTTTCTGTAGCTCAAAGTTTGTGGGTGGAGATAGGTGGTGAAGCAGACACATATTAACTGTGTGTACAAGCAGCTGAACTGCAAGGTGGACCTCAAAAAGCAACAAGTACAAGAATGTGTGTGCGTGTGTGTGTGTGTGTGTGTGTCTCGTTAATGACTGCATCCTAAACAGCTGTGAGATCAAAGGCAAATCACTAACCTACTGTTTGACTGAGAGGTGCTGAACTGCAGTCAATTTCAGCCTGTGAACTTCTTCACATAGCGTGATTTCCTTAAGTCCCAGAATGAAAATAAGAACATCGTACGAATCCTCAGTCCTTCATGAACACAATGATGTGTTTTTCATGTCTGTACTTCGAAAAATGAGGCCACAACAGCGAGTTAAAAAAGTCTGAGCCTGAGCGATGATCCGGATTTTCTTGGAGATAAATAACATTACGGTCAATGGGAGAGATTTCCGCCTTTTTTGGACAGTTGGTCACCTGCTGGCCAAGGGGTGCGATTTAATGATTTGAAACCTCTTTTGTGAGAAGCAGGACACATATACCTCCATTTTGATGTATTATTTGTGTCAGTGGAGTGAGATTTGTGGGCGTGGGAGCGATATATTCGAGCGAGGTTCTGTCGATCAGAGACGAGGTCTGCACTCTAGCTGATGACATCATCACTCTAAACTCTCCAATACACACCCATTATAAAGCTTGAAATTTGCTGAAAACCACAAGTTGCTTAAAGCTAAATTGTGGAAGAACTGTAGAAGATATCAAAAAACCAAGTACAACTGTAATAGTCGACAAGTGAGTGAACATTTTAAAGCAAAAATGAGGTCTCTAGGTGAAAGTATGCTGAAGTTATAAGGTCTAGAAGGTGGAAGAATGAAAGGAAGAAGTTGAAGATTTCCCCATTGACTTCAATGTTAAAATTTTTGCACAAAAAGTTAAAAAAATCAAAAAGTATAAAAGGTAGAAGAGTGAAAAGTAATAGCCATCATGTCCTGAAGGAGTGGAATAGTTTAAAGTTTGAACGGTTGAAATCGGACAAAGTTTGAAGGAGGAGAAGCGTTGCAAAAAAGGGACGGAAGAATAATAATAATAATAATAATAATAATAAGTTTAATAAAGAAACAGGAGAATAACAATAAGTGGAAATGCCTATCAGCATTTCCACTTAACTAGAAAAATTGCATTTCCTTGCAGAAAATGCGTGGAAATGCTGAGTGCTGAAAGCTGAAAAAGCAATGCTAAACTGCTAATAAAACATGGAGAAAGGTATAAATGTTAAAGCTGTTGAAGGGGTGAAAAAGAAGTATAGTAAGTAAGGACAAATAGTATGAATATGCTCTATAAAAGGAAATTTGATTCATGCTTAAAGAGGCTAGAAAAATGTCTAAAATTGCACAAAGTTCGATTGAAGAAGGAAATTGCCTTAAAAGGCAGGAAGGTGAGAAGTGGCATAAGTTTAAGTTGTAGTACTAGAAGTAGTATGATAAGAAGTCAAGTCGTGATACTAGTAGTCATGTCAGCAGTAGAAGTAGTTTGAGAATAAAAGAACTATAGTCAATAGCAGTAGTAGAGAAAGTAGAAATAGGAGCAATAGCAGTTGAAGTAGAGGGGAAAGTTCTAGTTTAATTGACATTAGCAGTAGTTGTCGTACTTGAGGTAGGATTTTGTTTGAAGGATGGAGTAATGCATAAATATTAAAACTAATTTAAAACAGGAAAATTTAAATATTAAAAATCCTCAAGTATCAGAAGTTTTAAGTATTAGAAAGGTTTGAATCAGTTTGAATGAGTTTAAATTAGTTTGAAAAATTAAATGATAAATCATCACTGAGTGACTTATAAAAGTGAAAAATGTAAATGAATATAAATCCTGAATACACCCCATAATGTCCTCAATGAGCTTAAATTTTAAAGCCCTAAATGGTTTCTGTAGGTCAAAGGTCATGTGAGGAGATACGGGCTTAGGTTTTTTCAAGCGCTCTAGGAAAGGGTTTTAAGTGTCATCCCCAGTGCTATGTGTACTGAGCCTGGCTTCATGTGTCTCATATGGCCATTAGAAGCAGCTTTCCAGTCAGCTGTGTGTCTCCAGGTGCACAAATTGGTTGCCATGGGGACCTTGGATGCATAACTATAGCAGGAGAAAGAAGGCTTGAAGCTAAGGAAACAGGACTCCAAGTAGGCCCTGACGCTCATCGTCTGTATATATTCATGATAAGGAGCTTGTGAGAACACAAGATTTTGCTGAACACATTAATACAATTTATTATCACAATCCTCAAAACACCCCATAATATCTTCAATGAGCTGAATTTTTCAAGCCCAAAATGGTTTCTGTAGCTCAAAGTTTGTGGGTGGAGATAGGTGGTGAAGCAGACACATAATACCTGTGTACAAGCAGCTGAACTGCAAGGTAGACCTGACAATGCAACAAGTACAAGAATGTGTGTGTGTGTGTGTGTGTGTGTGTGTGTGTGTGTGTGTCTCGTTAATGATTGCATCCTAAACAGCTGTGAGATCAAAGGCAAATTACTGACCTACTGTTTGACTGAGAGGTGCTGAACTGCTGAGGATTTATAGCCTCTGAACTTCTTCACATAGCGTGATTTCCTTAAGTCCCCGAATGAAAATAAGAACATCGTACGAATCCTCGGGCCTTCATGAACACAATGATGTCTTTTTCATGTCTGTACTCCGAAAAATGTGGCCACAACAGCGAGTTAAAAAAGTCTGAGCCTGAGTGGGGATAAGGATTTTCTTGGAGAAGAAATACATTAGGTCTAATGGGGAGAGATTTCCGCCTATTTGGACAGTTGGTCACCTGCTGGCCAAGGGGTACGATTTAATGATTTGAAACCTCTTTTGTGAGAAGCAGGACACATATACCTCCATTTTGATGTATTTTTTATGGCTGTGGAGTGAGATTTGTGGGCGTGGGAGCGATATATTTGAACGAGGTTCTGTCGATCAGAGACGAGGTCTGCACTCTAGCTTTTCAAATCATCACTCTAGCCTCTCCAATACACCCCATTATAAAGCCTGAAATTTGCTGAAAACCACAAGTTGCTTAAAGCTAAATTGTGGAAAAACTGTAAAAGATAGCACAAAAAGTTAATACAACATCAATAGTCGACAAGACAATGAACATTTTAAAGCAAAAATGAGGTCTCTAGGTGAAAGTATGCTGAAGTTATAAGGCTTAGAAGGTGGAAGAATAAAAGGAAGAATTGGAAGATTTCCCCATTCATTTTATGGGAAAAAAAGTTTGAAACAAAAAGTGAAAAATAATAAAAAGTATAAAGGGTAGAAAAGAGAAAAGTAATAGCCATCATGTCCTGAAGGAGTGGAATAGTTTAAAGTTTGAACGGTTGAAATCGGACAAAGTTTGAAGGAGGAGAAGCGGTCCAAAGAAACGTATGGGGAGAGTGTTAAGTATAATACTAGAAAAATTGCATTTCCTTGCAGAAAATGCGTGGAAATGCTGAGTGCTGAAAGCTGAAAAAGCAATGCTAAACTGCTAATAAAACATGGAGAAAGGTATAAATGTTAAAGCTGTTGAAGGGGTGAAAGAAATATAAGTTGGATAATTGATTAATTGGTTGAAGGACAAATAGTATGAATATGCTCTATAAAAGGAAATTTTATTCATGCTGAAAGAGGCTAGAAAAATGTCTAAAATTGCACAAAGTTTGAATGAAGAAGGAAATTGCCTTAAAAGGCAGGAAGGTGAGAAGTGGCATAAGTTTAATTTTTTAAGTATTAGAAAGGTTTGAATCAGTTTGAATCAGTTCAAATTAGTTTGAAAAATTAAATGATAAATCATCACTGAGTGACTTTAAAATGTGAAAAATCTAAATGTATATAAATCCTAAATACACCCCATAATGTCCTCAATGAGCTCAAATTTTAAAGCCCTGAATGGTTTCTGTAGGTCAAAGGTCATGTGAGGAGATAGGGGCTGAAGTTTTTTCAAGCGCTCTAGTAAAGGGTTTTAAGTGTCATCCCCAGTGCTATGTGTGCTGAGCCTGGCTTCATGTGTCTCATATGGCCATTAGAAGCAGCTTTCCAGTCAGCTGTGTGTCTCCAGGTGCACTAATTGGTTGCCATGGGGACCTTGGATGCATAACTATAGCAGGAGAAAGAAGGCTTGAAGCTAAGGAAACAGGACTCCAAGTAGGCCCTGACGCTCATCCTCTGTATCTATTCCTGATAAGGAGCTTGTGAGAACACAAGACTCTGCTAAACACATTAATACAATTTATTATCACAATCCTCAAAACACCCCATAATATCTTCAATGAGCTGAATTTTTGAAGCCCAGAATGGTTTCTGTAGCTCAAAGTTTGTGGGTGGAGATAGGTGGCGAAGCAGACACATATTAACTGTGTGTACAAGCAGCTGAACTGCAAGGTAGACCTCATAAAGCAACAAGTACAAGAATGTGTGTGTGTGTGTGTGTGTGTCTCGTTAATGACTGCATCCTAAACAGCTGTGAGATCAAAGGCAAATCACTGACCTACTGTTTGAATGAGAAGCAGCTGAACTGCAGAGGATTTAGAGGCTCTAAACTTCTTCACATAGCGTGATTTCCTTAAGTCACAGAATGAAAATAAGAACATCGTACGAATCCTCCGCCCTTCATGAACACAATGAAGTATTTTTCATGTCTGTACTCCGACAGATGTGGCCACAACAGCGAGTTAAAAAAGTCTGAGCCTGAGCGATGATCCGGATTTTCTTGGAGAAAATTAACATTACGGTCAATGGGAGAGATTTCCGCCTTCTTTGGACAGTTGGTCACCTGCTGGCCAAGGGGTACGATTTAATGATTTGAAACCTCTTTTGTGAGAAGCAGGACACATATACCTCCATTTTGATGTATTATTTGTGTCAGTGGAGTGAGATTTGTGGGCGTGGGAGCGATATATTCGAGCGAGGTTCTGTCGATCAGAGACGAGGTCTGCACTCTAGCTGATGACATCATCACTCTAAACTCTCCAATACACACCCATTATAAAGCTTGAAATTTGCTGAAAACCACAAGTTGCTTAAAGCTAAATTGTGGAAAAACTGTAAGAGATATCAAAAAACTGAGTACAACTTTAATAGTCGACAAGTGAATGAACATTTTAAAGCAAAAATGAGGTCTCTAGGTGAAAGTATGCTGAAGTTATAAGGTCTAGAAGGTGGAAGAATAAAAGGAAGAATTGGAAGATTTCCCCATTGACTTTAATGTTAAAATTTTTGCACAAAAAGTTAAAAAAAACAAAAAGTATAAATGTTAGAAAAGTGAAAAGTAATAGCAAACGTGTCCTGAAGGAGTGGAATAGTTTAAAGTTTGAACGGTTGAAATCGGACAAACTGGGAAGGAGTTGAAAGCGGACGAAAAACGGCGGAAGAATAATAATAATAATAATAATAAAGAAACGGGAGAATAACAATAAGTGGAAATGCCTATCAGCATTTCCACTTAACTAGAAAAATTGCATTTCCTTGCAGAAAATGCGTGGAAATGCTGAGTGCTGAAAGCTGAAAAAGCAATGCTAAACTGCTAATAAAACATGGAGAAATGTATAAATGTTAAAGCTGTTGAAGGGGTGTGAAAGAAATGTAAGTTGGATAATTGATTAATTGGTTGAAGGACAAATAGTATGAATATGCTCTATAAAAAGAAATTTTATTCATGCTGAAAGAGGCTAGAAAAATGTCTAAAATTGCACAAAGTTTGAATGAAGAAGGAAATTGCCTTAAAAGGCAGGAAGGTGAGAAGTGGCATAAGTTTAATTTTTTAAGTATTAGAAAGGTTTGAATCAGTTTAAATGAGTTCAAATTAGTTTGAATAATTAAATGATAAATCATCACTGACTGACTTTTAAAATGTGAAAAATTTAAATGAATAACAATCCTAAATACACCCAATAATGTCCTCAATGAGCTCAAATTTTAAAGCCCTGAATGGTTTCTGTAGGTCAAAGGTCATGTGAGGAGATAGGGGCTGAAGGTTTTTCAAGCGCTCTAGGAAAGGGTTTTAAGTGTCATCCCCAGTGCTATGTGTGCTGAGTCTGGCTTCATGTGTCTCATATGGCCATTAGAAGCAGCTTTCCAGTCAGCTGTGTGTCTCCAGGTGCACTAATTGGTTGCCATGGGGACCTTGGATGCATAACTATAGCAGGAGAAAGAAGGCTTGAAGCTAAGGAAACAGGACTCCAAGTAGGCCCTGACGCTCATCCTCTGTATCTATTCCTGATAAGGAGCTTGTGAGAACACAAGACTCTGCTAAACACATTAATACAATTTATTATCACAATCCTCAAAACACCCCATAATATCTTCAATGAGCTGAATTTTAGAAGCCCAGAATGGTTTCTGTAGCTCAAAGTTTGTGGGTGGAGATAGGTGGTGAAGCAGACACATATTAACTGTGTGTACAAGCAGGTGAACTGCAAGGTGGACCTCAAAAAGCAACAAGTACAAGAATGTGTGTGCGTGTGTGTGTGTGTGTCGTTAATGACTGCATCCTAAACAGCTGTGAGATCAAAGGCAAATCACTAACCAACTGTTTGACTGAGAGGTGCTGAACTGCAGTGAATTTCAGCCTGTGAACTTCTTCACATAGCGTGATTTCCTTAAGTCCCAGAATGAAAATAAGAACATTGTACGAATCCTCCGTCCTTCATGAACACAATGATGTGTTTTTCATGTCTGTACTTCGAAAAATGAGGCCACAACAGCGAGTTAAAAAAGTCTGAGCTTGAGCGATGATCCGGATTTTCTTGGAGAAAAATAACATTACAGTCAATGGGAGAGATTTCCGCCTTTTTTGGACAGTTGGTCACCTGCTGGCCAAGGGGTACGATTTAATGATTTGAAACCTCTTTTGTGAGAAGCAGGACACATATACCTCCATTTTGATGTATTATTTGTGTCAGTGGAGTGAGATTTGTGGGCGTGGGAGCGATATATTCGAGCGAGGTTCTGTCGATCAGAGACGAGGTCTGCACTCTAGCTGATGACATCATCACTCTAAACTCTCCAATACACACCCATTATAAAGCTTGAAATTTGCTGAAAACCACAAGTTGCTTAAAGCTAAATTGTGGAAAAACTGTAAAAGATATCAAAAAACTGAGTACAACTATAATAGTCGACAAGTGAATGAACATTTTAAAGCAAAAATGAGGTCTCTAGGTGAAAGTATGCTGAAGTTATAAGGTCTAGAAGGTGGAAGAAAAAAAGGAAGAAGTGGAAGATTTCCCCATTGACTTCAATGTTAAAATTTTTGCACAAAAAGTTAAAAAAATCAAAAAGTATAAAGGGTAGAAAAGTGAAAAGTAATAGCACACATGTCCTGAAGGAGTGGAATAGTTTAAAGTTTGAATGGTTGAAATCGGACAAAGTTTGAAGGAGGAGAAGCGTGACAAAAAACGGCGGAAGAATAATAATAATAAGATTAAAGAAACAGGAGAATAACAATAAGTGGAAATGCTTAATCAGCATTTCCACTTAACTAGAAAAATTGCATTTCCTTGCAGAAAATGCGTGGAAATGCTGAGTGCTGAAGCTGAAAAAGCAATGCTAAACTGCTAATAAAACATGGAGAAAGGTATAAATGTTAAAGCTGTTGAAGGGGTGAAAAAGAAATATAAGTTGGATAATTGATTAATTGGTTGAAGGACAAATAGTATGAATATGCTCTTTAAAAGTAAATTCTATTCATGCTGAAAGAGGCTAGAAAAATGTCTAAAATTGCACAAAGTTTGAATGAAGAAGGAAATTGCCTTAAAAGGCAGGAAGGTGAGAAGTGGCATAAGTTTAAATTGTAGTACTAGAAGTAGTATGATAAGAAGTCAAGTTGTGATACTAGTAGTCATGTCAGCAGTAGAAGTAGATTGAGAATAAAAGAAGTATAAGTCAAAGTAGTAAAGAAAGTAGAAATAGGAGCAATAGCAGTTGAAGTAGAGGGGAAAGTTCTAGTTTAATTGACATTAGCAGTAGTTGTCGTACTTGAGGTAGGATTTTGTTTGAATGATGGAGTAATGCATAAATATTAAAACTAATTTAAAACAGGAAAATTTTAAATTATCAAAAGTCCTCAAGTATCAGAAAGTTTTGAAGTATTAGAAAGGTTTGAATCAGTTTGAATGAGTTTAAATTAGTTTGAAAAATTAAATGATAAATCATCACTGAGTGACTTTAAAATGTGAAAAATTTAAATGAATATAAATCCTAAATACACCCCATAATGTCCTCAATGAGCTTAAATTTTAAAGCCCTGAATGGTTTCTGTAGGTCAAAGGTCATGTGAGGAGATAGGGGCTGAAGTTTTTTCAACGCTCTAGGAAAGGGTTTTAAGTGTCATCCCAAGTGCTATGTGTACTGAGCCTGGCTTCATGTGTCTCATATGGCCATTAGAAGCAGCTTTCCAGTCAGCTGTGTGTCTCCAGGTGCACAAATTGGTTGCCATGGGGACCTTGGATGCATAACTATAGCAGGAGAAAGAAGGCTTGAAGCTAAGGAAACAGGACTCCAAGTAGGCCCTGACGCTCACCCTCTGTATATATTCATAAGGAGCTTGTGAGAACACAAGACTCTGCTGAACACATTAATACAATTTATTATCACAATCCTCAAAACACCCCATAATATCTTCAATGAGCTGAATTTTTGAAGCCCAGAATGGTTTCTGTAGCTCAAAGTTTGTGGGTGGAGATAGGTGGTGAAGCAGACACATATTAACTGTGTGTACAAGCAGCTGAACTGCAAGGTGGACCTCAAAAAGCAACAAGTACAAGAAGGTGTGTGTGCGTGTGCGTGTGTGTGTGTGTGTGTGTGTGTGTGTCTCGTTAATGACTGCATCCTAAACAGCTGTGAGATCAAAGGCAAATCACTAACCTACTGTTTGACTGAGAGGTGCTGAACTGCAGTGAATTTCAGCCTGTGAACTTCTTCACATAGCGTGATTTCCTTAAGTCCCAGAATGAAAATAAGAACATCGTACGAATCCTCCGTCCTTCATGAACACAATGATGTGTTTTTCATGTCTGTACTTCGAAAAATGAGGCCACAACAGCGAGTTAAAAAAGTCTGAGCTTGAGCGATGATCCGGATTTTCTTGGAGAAAAATAACATTACAGTCAATGGGAGAGATTTCCGCCTTTTTTGGACAGTTGGTCACCTGCTGGCCAAGGGGTACGATTTAATGATTTGAAACCTCTTTTGTGAGAAGCAGGACACATATACCTCCATTTTGATGTATTTTTTATGTCTGTGGAGTGAGATTTGTGGGCGTGGGAGCGATATATTCGAGCGAGGTTCTGTCGATCAGAGACGAGGTCTGCACTCTAGCTGATGACATCATCACTCTAAACTCTCCAATACACACCCATTATAAAGCCTGAAATTTGCTGAAAACCACAAGTTGCTTAAAGCTAAATTGTGGAAAAACTGTAAAAGATATCAAAAAACTGAGTACAACATTAATAGTCGACAAGTGAATGAACATTTTAAAGCAAAAATGAGGTCTCTAGGTGAAAGTATGCTGAAGTTATAAGGTTAGAAGGTGGAAGAATAACAGGAAGAATTGGAAGATTTCCCCATTCATTTCAATGGTTAAAATTTTTGCACAAAAAGTTAAAAAAATCAAAAAGTATAAAGGGTAGAAAAGTGAAAAGTAATACGCCTCATGTCCTGAAGGAGTGGAATAGTTTAAAGTTTGAACGGTTGAAATCGGCACAAAGTTTGAAGGAGGAGAAGCGGCCAAAAAAATGGCGGAAGAAAATAATAATAATAACTAGAAAAATTGCATTTCCTTGCAGAAAATGCGTGGAAATGCTGAGTGCTGAAAGCTGAAAAAGCAATGCTAAACTGCTAATAAAACATGGAGAAAGGTATAAATGTTAAAGCTGTTGAAGGGGTGAAAGAAATATAAGTTGGATAATTGATTAATTGGTTGAAGGACAAATAGTATGAATATGCTCTATAAAAGGAAATTTTATTCATGCTGAAAGAGGCTAGAAAAATGTCGAAAATTGCACAAAGTTTGAATGAAGAAGGAAATTGCCTTAAAAGGCAGGAAGGTGAGAAGTGGCATAAGTTTAAATTGTAGTACTAGAAGTAGTATGATAAGAAGTCAAGTTGTGATACTAGTAGTCATGTCAGCAGTAGAAGTAGATTGAGAATAAAAGAAGTATAAGTCAAAGTAGTAAAGAAAGTAGAAATAGGAGCAATAGCAGTTGAAGTAGAGGGGAAAGTTCTAGTTTAATTGACATTAGCAGTAGTTGTCGTACTTGAGGTAGGATTTTGTTTGAATGATGGAGTAATGCATAAATATTAAAACTAATTTAAAACAGGGAAATTTTAAATTATCAAAAGTCCTCAAGTATCAGAAAGTTTTGAAGTATTAGAAAGGTTTGAATCAGTTTGAATGAGTTTAAATTAGTTTGAAAAATTAAATGATAAATCATCACTGACTGACTTTTAAAATGTGAAAAATTTAAATGAATAACAATCCTAAATACACCCAATAATGTCCTCAATGAGCTTAAATTTCAAAGCCCTGAATGGTTTCTGTAGGTCAAAGGTCATGTGAGGGGATTGGGGCTGAAGTTTTTTCCAACGCTCTAGGAAAGGGTTTTAAGTGTCATCCCAATTGCTATGTGTACTGAGCCTGGCTTCATGTGTCTCATATGGCCACTAGAAGCAGCTTTCCAGTCAGCTGTGTGTCTCCAGGTGCACAAATTGGTTGCCATGGGGACCTTGGATGCATAACTATAGCAGGAGAAAGAAGGCTTGAAGCTAAAGAAACAGGACTCCAAGTAGGCCCTGACGCTCACCCTCTGTATATATTCATAAGGAGCTTGTGAGAACACAAGACTCTGCTGAACACATTAATACAATTTATTATCACAATCCTCAAAACACCCCATAATATCTTCAATGAGCTGAATTTTTGAAGCCCAGAATGGTTTCTGTTGCTCAAAGTTTGTGGGTGGAGATAGGTGGTGAAGCAGACACATATTAACTGTGTGTACAAGCAGCTGAACTGCAAGGTGGACCTCAAAAAGCAACAAGTACAAGAAGGTGTGTGTGCGTGTGTGTGTGTGTGTCTCGTTAATGACTGCATCCTAAACAGCTGTGAGATCAAAGGCAAATCACTAACCTACTGTTTGACTGAGAGGTGCTGAACTGCAGTGAATTTCAGCCTGTGAACTTCTTCACATAGCGTGATTTCCTTAAGTCCCAGAATGAAAATAAGAACATCGTACGAATCCTCCGTCCTTCATGAACACAATGATGTGTTTTTCATGTCTGTACTTCGAAAAATGAGGCCACAACAGCGAGTTAAAAAAGTCTGAGCTTGAGCGATGATCCGGATTTTCTTGGAGAAAAATAACATTACAGTCAATGGGAGAGATTTCCGCCTTTTTTGGACAGTTGGTCACCTGCTGGCCAAGGGGTACGATTTAATGATTTGAAACCTCTTTTGTGAGAAGCAGGACACATATACCTCCATTTTGATGTATTATTTGTGTCAGTGGAGTGAGATTTGTGGGCGTGGGAGCGATATATTCGAGCGAGGTTCTGTCGATCAGAGACGAGGTCTGCACTCTAGCTGATGACATCACCACTCTAAACTCTCCAATACACACCCATTATAAAGCTTGAAATTTGCTGAAAACCACAAGTTGCTTAAAGCTAAATTGTGGAAAAACTGTAAGAGATATCAAAAAACTGAGTACAACTGTAATAGTCGACAAGTGAATGAACATTTTAAAGCAAAAATGAGGTCTCTAGGTGAAAGTATGCAGAAGTTACAAGGTTCAGAAGGTGGAAGAAAAACAGGAAGAATTGGAAGATTTCCCCATTGACTTCAATGTTAAAATTTTTGCATAAAAAGTTAAAAAAATCAAAAAGTATAAAGGGTAGAAAAGTGAAAAGTAATCGCCGTCATGTCCTGAAGGAGAGGAATAGTTTAAAGTTTGAACGGTTGAAATCGCACAAAGTGGAGAAGAGTTATAAAGTGCCAAAAAATGGCGGAAGAAAAATAATAATAATAATAATAATAATAATAATAATAATAAAGAAACAGGAGAATAACAATAAGTGGAAATGCCTATCAGCATTTCCACTTAATAATAATAATAAAGAAACAGGAGAATAACAATAAGTGGAAATGCCTATCAGCATTTCCACTTAACTAGAAAAATTGCATTTCCTTGCAGAAAATGCGTGGAAATGCTGAGTGCTGAAAGCTGAAAAAGCAATGCAAAACTGCCAATAAAAAATGGAGGAAGGTATAAACGGAAAAACTGTAGAAAAGGTGGAGTAGAAGAAGAAGAAATTGTATGAATGGAAGAATTGTAGTATAGCTGGAGGTAAATTAGTTGGATTAATGTACAAATTGTCTGATAGCCTAAGTGAAAAATGTATATGATTGATGTGAATAAACAGAACTGATATGGATAATTGAATTTGAAAAACAAATGCCTTTAAACAATGTGTAACAATGTTCCTATTAAATGTACAAATAGTAAAACAGATTTTTGCAGTCTGCAGCATCCAACCATAGTAACTTGAGAATGCAGAACAGCACCATCTATTGCCCTGCTTCAGTTACTGCCCTACATCTGAATGCAGAAAGTATGAAACAGCTGAAGTTAAATTAATTGTATAAATGTAGAAAGTATAGAAAAGAAAAGCAGAAGTAGAAGAAAAAGAAGAAGTTAGTATGTTAAAAGAGTTAAAGACAAGAACTGTAACAACAAAGTTCATATTGGGGCTGTATTTTCTACTGACAGAGGGACAGTAATGCACACATGGAAACAGTGTGTGTGTGTGTGTGTGTGTGTGTGTGTGTGTGTGTGTGTGTGTGTGCCCGCGCGCGCGCGCGGCCGAGCCAGTGCGTGTGCATATGCGTGTGTGATCGAAGCACACAGCCCATGACAAGTGCAGAATCTGACAGAGACAGTAAGAGAGAAAGAGACACAGTAATGCACTCATGGAAACAGTGTGTGTGTATGTGTGTGTGCCCGCGCGCGCACGAGCGGCCGAGTCCGTGCGTGTGCATGTGCGTGTGCGATCGAAGCAGACAGCCCATGACAAGTGCAGAATCTCTGGCTCTGAAGGAATGTACTCACCTCCTGGGCAAGCTGTACAATTTCATGACTTCAGACCGATTTTGTGAGAAGCAGGACGAGTGTACCTCCATTTTGATGTGTTTTTTATGGCTGTGGAGTGAAAATTGCGGCCGCAGCAGCAAAATAATCATGCTTGGTGTAGTGAATCCAAAAGGCCCCGCCCGCATCTAGCGGTGACGTAACATCTGACGTCACACGCTGTAGCGTGAGTCAGGCTGAAAAAGGCAGAGAACTTCATGTTGCTCCAAGCGAAATTGTGCAAAAACGGTAGGAAATAGCAAAAAGGAGTGAATACAACATTTGTAGCAGACACGTTGCTGAACATTTTAAAGCAAAAATGAGGTCTGTAGGTGAAAGTATGCAGAAGTTATAAGGGTGAGAAGGTGTTATAGCTGTATCTCCATTCATTTGTAATGGAACAAATTTTGCAGAAAAAGTGAAATATTGCAAAAAGTATAAATGGTAGAAAGGTGAAAAGTAATAGCCGTAATGTCCTGAAGGAGTGCATTAGTATAAAGTTTGAATGGTGAAAATAGCACAAAGTGGTGAGGAGTTGAAAAGGGCCAAAAAAGGTACGGAAGAATAATAATAATAATAATAATAATAATAATAATAATAATAATAATAAAGAAATAGTAGAATAACAATAAGTGGAAATGCTGTGTCAGCATTTCCACTTAACTAGAAAAATTGCATTTCCTTGCAGAAAATGCGTGGAAATGCTGAGTGCTGAAAGCTGAAAAAGCAATGCTAAACTGCTAATAAAACATGGAGAAAGGTATAAATGTTAAAGCTGTTGAAGGGGTGAAAAAGAAATATAAGTTGGATAATTGTTTAATTGGTTGAAGGACAAATAGTATGAATATGCTCTATAAAAGGAAATTTTATTCATGCTGAAAGAGGCTAGAAAAATGTCTAAAATTGCACAAAGTTTGAATGAAGAAGGAAATTGCCTTAAAAGGCAGGAAGGTGAGAAGTGGCATAAGTTTAAGTTGTAGTACTAGAAGTAGTATGATAAGAGGTCAAGTCGTGATACTAGTAGTCATGTCAGCAGTAGAAGTAGATTGAGGATAAAAGAAGTATAAGTCAAAGTAGTAAAGAAAGTAGAAATAGTAGCAATAGCAGCAGTAGAGAAAGTAGAAATATGAGCAATAGCAGTTGAAGTAGAGGGGAAAGTACTAGTTTAATTGACATTAGCAGTAGTTGTAGTACTAGAGGTAGGATTTTGTTTGAAGGATGGAGTAATGCATAAATATTAAAACTAATATAAAACAGGGAAAATTTTATTAATTAAAAATCCTGAAGTATCAGAAAGTTTTTTTAGTATTAGAAAGGTTTGAATCATTTTGAATGAGTTTAAATTAGTTTGAAAAATTAAATGATAAATCATCACTGAGTGACTTTAAAATGTGAAAAATTTAAATGAATATAAATCCTAAATATACCCCATAATGTCCTCAATGAGCTTAAATTTTAAAGCCCTGAATGGTTTCTGTAGGTCAAAGGTCATGTGAGGAGATAGGGGCTGAAGTTTTTTCAAGCGCTCTAGGAAAGGGTTTTAAGTGTCATCCCCAGTGCTATGTGTACTGAGCCTGGCTTCATGTGTCTCATATGGCCATTAGAAGCAGCTTTCCAGTCAGCTGTGTGTCTCCAGGTGCACAAATTGGTTGCCATGGGGACCTTGGATGCATAACTATAGCAGGAGAAAGAAGGCTTGAAGCTAAGGAAACAGGACTCCAAGTAGGCCCTGACGCTCATCCTCAGTATATATTCATGATAAGGAGCTTGTGAGAACACAAGACTCTGCTGAACACATTAATACAATTTATTATCACAATCCTCAAAACACCCCATAATATCTTCAATGAGCTGAATTTTTGAAGCCCAGAATGGTTTCTGTAGCTCAAAGTTTGTGGGTGGAGATAGGTGGTGAAGCAGACACATATTAACTGTGTGTACAAGCAGCTGAACTGCAAGGTGGACCTCAAAAAGCAACAAGTACAAGAATGTGTGTGCGTGTGTGTGTGTGTGTGTGTGTCTCGTTAATGACTGCATCCTAAACAGCTGTGAGATCAAAGGCAAATCACTAACCTACTGTTTGACTGAGAGGTGCTGAACTGCAGTGAATTTCAGCCTGTGAACTTCTTCACATAGCGTGATTTCCTTAAGTCCCAGAATGAAAATAAGAACATCGTACGAATCCTCCGTCCTTCATGAACACAATGATGTGTTTTTCATGTCTGTACTTCGAAAAATGAGGCCACAACAGCGAGTTAAAAAAGTCTGAGCCTGAGCGATGATCCGGATTTTCTTGGAGAAAAATAACATTATGGTCAATGGGAGAGATTTCCGCCTTTTTTGGACAGTTGGTCACCTGCTGGCCAAGGGGTAGGATTTAATGATTTGAAACCTCTTTTGTGAGAAGCAGGACACATATACCTCCATTTTGATGTATTATTTATGGCTCTGGAGTGAGATTTGTGGGCGTGGGAGCGATATATTCGAGCGAGGTTCTGTCGATCAGAGACGAGGTCTGCACTCTAGCTTTTCAAATCATCACTCTAGCCTCTCCAATTCACCCCCATTATAAAACCTGAAATTTGCTGAAAACCACAAGTTGCTTAAAGCTAAATTGTGGAAAAACTGTAAAAGATAGCACAAAAAGGTTAATACAACATCAATAGTCGACAAGACAATGAACATTTTAAAGCAAAAATGAGGTCTCTAGGTGAAAGTATGCTGAAGTTATAAGGCTTAGAAGGTGGACGAATAACAGGAAGAATTGGAAGATTTCCCCATTCGTTTCTATGGGAAAAAAAGTTTGGCACAAAAAGTGAAAAATAATAAAAAGTACAAAGGATAGAAAGGAAAAAAATACAAGCACACATGTCCTGATGGAGTGGAATAGTTTAAAGTTTGAACGGTTGAAATCGGACAAAGTTTGAAGGAGGAGAAGCGGTCCAAAGAAACGTATGGGGAGAGTGTTAAGTATAATACTAGAAAAATTGCATTTCCTTGCAGAAAATGCGTGGAAATGCTGAGTGCTGAAAGCTGAAAAAGCAATGTTAAACTGCTAATAAAACATGGAGAAAGGTGTAAATGTTAAAGCTGTTGAAGGGGTGAAAAAGAAATATAAGTTGGATGATAGTTTAATTGTCAGCAGTAGAAGTAGATTGAGAATAAAAGAAGTATAAGTCAAAGTAGTAAAGAAAGTAGAAATAGTAGCAATAGCAGCAGTAGAGAAAGTAGAAATAGGAGCAATAGCAGTTGAAGTAGAGGGGAAAGTTCTAGTTTAATTGACATAAGTAGTTGTAGTACTAGAGGTAGGATTTTGTTTGAAGGACGGATTAATGCATAAATATTAAAAATAATATAAAACAGGGAAAATTTTATTAATTAAAAATCCTCAAGTATCAGACAGTTTTTAAGTATTAGAAAGGTTTGAATCAGTTTGAATGAGTTTAAATTAGTTTGAAAAATTAAATGATAAATCATCACTGAGTGACTTTAAAATGTGAAAAATTTAAATGAATATAAATCCTAAATACACCCCATAATGTCCTCAATGAGCTTAAATTTTAAAGCCCTGAATGGTTTCTGTAGGTCAAAGGTCATGTGAGGAGATAGGGGCTGAAGTTTTTTCAAGCGCTCTAGGAAAGGGTTTTAAGTGTCATCCCCAGTGCTATGTGTACTGAGCCTGGCTTCATGTGTCTCATATGGCCATTAGAAGCAGCTTTCCAGTCAGCTGTGTGTCTCCAGGTGCACAAATTGGTTGCCATGGGAACCTTGGATGCATAACTATAGCAGGAGAAAGAAGGCTTGAAGCTAAGGAAACAGGACTCCAAGTAGGCCCTGACGCTCATCCTCTGTATAATTCATAAGGAGCTTGTGAGAACACAAGACTCTGCTGAACACATTAATACAATTTATTATCACAATCCTCAAAACACCCCATAATATCTTCAATGAGCTGAATTTTTGAAGCCCAGAATGGTTTCTGTAGCTCAAAGTTTGTGGGTGGAGATAGGTGGTGAAGCAGACACATATTAACTGTGTGTACAAGCAGCTGAACTGCAAGGTAGACCTCACAAAGCAACAAGTACAAGAATGTGTGTGTGTGTGTGTGTGTCTCATTAATGACTGCATCCCTAACAGCTGTGAGATCAAAGGCAAATCACTGACCTACTGTTTGAATGACAAGCAGCTGAACAGCAGAGGATTTGAAGCCTGTGAACTTCTTCACATAGCGTGATTTCCTTAAGTCCCAGAATGAAAATAAGAACATTGTACGAATCCTCCGTCCTTCATGAACACAATGATGTGTTTTTCATGTCTGTACTCCGAAAAATGTGGCCACAACAGCGAGTTAAAAAAGTCTGAGCCTGAGTGACGATAAGGATTTTCTTGGAGAAGAAATACATTAGGGCCAATGGGGAGATATTTGCGCCTATCTGGACAGTTGGTCACCTGCTGGCCAAGGGGTACGATTTAATGATTTGAAACCTCTTTTGTGAGAAGCAGGACACATACACCTCCATTTTGATGTATTATTTGTGTCAGTGGAGTGAGATTTGTGGGCGTGGGAGCGATATATTCGAGCGAGGTTCTGTCGATCAGAGACAAGGTCTGCACTCTAGCTGATGACATCATCACTCTAAACTCTCCAATACACACCCATTATAAAGCTTGAAATTTGCTGAAAACCACAAGTTGCATAAAGCTAAATTGTGGAAAAACTGTAAAAGATATCAAAAAACTGAGTACAACTATAATAGTCGACAAGTGAATGAACATTTTAAAGCAAAAATGAGGTCTCTAGGTGAAAGTATGCTGAAGTTATAAGGTCTAGAAGGTGGAAGAAGAAAAGGAAGAAGTTGAAGATTTCCCCATTGACTTCAATGTTAAAATTTTTGCACAAAAAGTTAAAAAAAACAAAAAGTATAAAGGGTAGAAAGAAAAAAAATGGAAGCCATCATGTCCTGAAGGAGTGGAATAGTTTAAAGTTTGAATGGTTGAAATCGGACAAAGTTTGAAGGAGGAGAAGCGGTCCAAAAAATGGCGGAAGAAAAATAATAATAATAATAATAACTAGAAAAATTGCATTTCCTTGCAGAAAATGCGTGGAAATGCTGAGTGCTGAAAGCTGAAAAAGCAATGCTAAACTGCTAATAAAACATGGAGAAAGGTATAAATGTTAAAGCTGTTGAAGGGGTGAAAAAGAAATATAAGTTGGATAATAGTTTAATTGGTTGAAGGACAAATAGTATGAATATGCTCTATAAAAGGAAATTTTATTCATGCTGAAAGAGGCTAGAAAAATGTCTAAAATTGCACAAAGTTTGAATGAAGAAGGAAACTGCCTTTAAAGGCAGGAAGGTGAGAAGTGGCATAAGTTTAAGTTGTAGTACTAGAAGAAGTATGATAAGAAGTCAAGTCGTGATACTAGTAGTCATGTCAGCAGTAGAAGTAGATTGAGTAGTTGTAGTACTAGAGGTAGGATTTTGTTTGACGGACGGATTAATGCATAAATATTAAAAATAATATAAAACAGGGAAAATTTTATTAATTAAAAATCCTCAAGTATCAGACAGTTTTTAAGTATTAGAAAGGTTTGAATCATTTTGAATGAGTTTAAATTAGTTTGAAAAATTAAATGATAAATTATCACTGAGTGACTTTAAAATGTGAAACATTTAAATGAATATAAATCCTAAATACACCCCATAATGTCCTCAATGAGCTTAAATTTTAAAGCCCTGAATGGTTTCTGTAGGTCAAAGGTCATGTGAGGAGATAGGGGCTGAAGGTTTTTCAAGCGCTCTAGGAAAGGGTTTTAAGTGTCATCCCCAGTGCTATGTGTACTGAGCCTGGCTTCATGTGTCTCATATGGCCATTAGAAGCAGCTTTCCAGTCAGCTGTGTGTCTCCAGGTGCACAAATTGGTTGCCATGGGGACCTTGGATGAATAACTATAGCAGGAGAAAGAAGGCTTGAAGCTAAGGAAACAGGACTCCAAGTAGGCCCTGACGCTCATCCTCTGTATAAATTCATAAGGAGCTTGTGAGAACACAAGATTTTGCTGAACACATTAATACAATTTATTATCACAATCCTCAAAACACCCCATAATATGTTCAATGAGCTGAATTTTTGAAGCCCAGAATGGTTTCTGTAGCTCAAAGTTTGTGGGTGGAGATAGGTGGTGAAGCAGACACATATTAACTGTGTATACAAGCAGCTGAACTGCAAGGTAGACCTGACAGCAAAAAGTACAAGAATCTGTGTGTGTGTGTGTGTGTGTGTGTGTGTGTGTGTGTGTGTGTGTGTGTGTGTGTGTGTGTGTGTGTCTCGTTAATGATTGCATCCTAAACAGCTGTGAGATCAAAGCATTAACTAACCTATTGTTTGAATGGAGAAGCTGCCGAACTGCAGTGAATTTAGGGTTCTGAACTTCTTCACATAGCACGATTTCCTTAAATCCCAGAATGAAAATAAGAACATCGTACGAATCCTCCATCCTTCATGAACACAATGATCTGTTTTTCATGTCTGTACTCCGAAAAATGTGGCCACAACAGCGAGTTAAAAAAGTCTGAGCCTGAGTGACGATAAGGATTTTCTTGGAGAAAAAATACATTAGGGCCAATGGGGAGAGATTTGCGCCTATTTGGACAGTTGGTCACCTGCTGGCCAAGGGGTAGGATTTAATGATTTGAAACCTCTTTTGTGAGAAGCAGGACACATATACCTCCATTTTGATGTATTTTTTATGGCTGTGGAGTGAGATTTGTGGGCGTGGGAGCGATATATTCGAGCGAGGTTCTGTCGATCAGAGACGAGGTCTGCACTCTAGCTTTTCAAATCATCACTCTAGCCTCTCCAATACATCCCTATTATAAAGCCTGAAATTAGCTGAAAACCACAAGTTGCATAAAGCTAAATTGTGGAAAAACTGTAAAAGATAGCACAAAAAGGTTAATACAACATCATTAGTCGACAAGACAATGAACATTTTAAAGCAAAAATTAGGTCTCTAGGTGAAAGTATGCTGAAGTTATAAGGCTTAGAAGGTGCACGAATAACAGGAAGAATTGGAAGATTTCCCCATTCATTTCTATGGGAAAAAAGTTTGGAACAAAAAGTGAAAAATAATAAAAAGTACAAAGGATAGAAAGGAAAAAAATACAAGCACACATGTCCTGATGGAGTGGAATAGTTTAAAGTTTGAACGGTTGAAATCGGACAAAGTTTGAAGGAGGAGAAGCGGTCCAAAGAAACGTATGGGGAGAGTGTTAAGTATAATACTAGAAAAATTGCATTTCCTTGCAGAAAATGCGTGGAAATGCTGAGTGCTGAAAGCTGAAAAAGCAATGCTAAACTGCTAATAAAACATGGAGAAAGGTATAAATGTTAAAGCTGTTGAAGGGGTGAAAAAGAAATATAAGTTGGATAATAGTTTAATTGGTTGAAGGACAAATAGTATGAATATGCTCTATAAAAGGAAATTTTATTCATGCTGAAAGAGGCTAGAAAAATGTCTAAAATTGCACAAAGTTTGAATGAAGAAGGAAACTGCCTTTAAAGGCAGGAAGGTGAGAAGTGGCATAAGTTTAAGTTGTAGTACTAGAAGAAGTATGATAAGAAGTCAAGTCGTGATACTAGTAGTCATGTCAGCAGTAGAAGTAGATTGAGAATAAAAAAAGTATAAGTCAAAGTAGTAAAGAAAGTAGAAATAGTAGCAATAGCAGCAGTAGAGAAAGTAGAAATAGGAGCAATAGCAGTTGAAGTAGAGGGGAAAGTTCTAGTTTAATTGACATAAGTAGTTGTAGTACTAGAGGTAGGATTTTGTTTGAAGGACGGATTAATGCATAAATATTAAAACTAATATAAAACAGGGAAAATTTTATTAATTAAAAATCCTCAAGTATCAGACAGTTTTTAAGTATTAGAAAGGCTTGAATCATTTTGAATGAGTTTAAATTAGTTTGAAAAATTAAATGATAAATTATCACTGAGTGACTTTAAAATGTGAAACATTTAAATGAATATAAATCCTAAATACACCCCATAATGTCCTCAATGAGCTTAAATTTTAAAGCCCTGAATGGTTTCTGTAGGTCAAAGGTCATGTGAGGAGATAGGGGCTGAAGGTTTTTCAAGCGCTCTAGGAAAGGGTTTTAAGTGTCATCCCCAGTGCTATGTGTACTGAGCCTGGCTTCATGTGTCTCATATGGCCATTAGAAGCAGCTTTCCAGTCAGCTGTGTGTCTCCAGGTGCACAAATTGGTTGCCATGGGGACCTTGGATGAATAACTATAGCAGGAGAAAGAAGGCTTGAAGCTAAGGAAACAGGACTCCAAGTAGGCCCTGACGCTCATCGTCTGTATATATTCATGATAAGGAGCTTGTGAGAACACAAGATTTTGCTGAACACATTAATACAATTTATTATCACAATCCTCAAAACACCCCATAATATCTTCAATGAGCTGAATTTTTCAAGCCCAGAATGGTTTCTGTAGCTCAAAGTTTGTGGGTGGAGATAGGTGGTGAAGCAGACACATATTACCTGTGTGTACAAGCAGCTGAACTGCAAGGTAGACCTGACAACGCAACAAGTACAAGAATGTGTGTGTGTGTGTGTGTGTGTGTGTGTGTGTGTGTGTGTGTGTCTCGTTAATGATTGCATCCTGAACAGCTGTGAGATCAAAGGCAAATCACAGACCTACTGTTTGACTGAGAGGTGCTGAACTGCTGAGGATTTATAGCCTCTGAACTTCTTCACATAGCGTGATTTCCTTAAGTCCCAGAATGAAAATAAGAACATCGTACGAATCCTCCGGCCTTCATGAACACAATGATGTCTTTTTCATGTCTGTACTTCGAAAAATGAGGCCACAACAGCGAGTTAAAAAAGTCTGAGCCTGAGTGGGGATAAGGATTTTCTTGGAGAAGAAATACATTAGGTCTAATGGGGAGAGATTTCCGCCTATTTGGACAGTTGGTCACCTGCTGGCCAAGGGGTACGATTTAATGATTTGAAACCTCTTTTGTGAGAAGCAGGACACATATACCTCCATTTTGATGTATTTTTTATGGCTGTGGAGTGAGATTTGTGGGCGTGGGAGCGATATATTTGAGCAAGGTTCTGTCGATCAGAGACGAGGTCTGCACTCTAGCTTTTCAAATCATCACTCTAGCCTCTCCAATACACCCCTATTATAAAGCCTGAAATTTGCTGAAAACCACAAGTTGCATAAAGCTAAATTGTGGAAAAACTGTAAAAGATAGCACAAAGAGGTTAATACAACATCAATAGTCGACAAGACAATGAACATTTTAAAGCAAAAATGAGGTCTCTAGGTGAAAGTATGCTGAAGTTATAAGGTCTAGAAGGTGGACGAATAACAGGAAGAATTGAAAGATTTCCCCATTCATTTCTATTGGGAAAAAAGTTTGGCACAAAAAGTGAAAAATAATAAAAAGTATAAAGGGTAGAAAAGAGAAAAGTAATAGCCATCATGTCCTGATGGAGCGGAATAGTTAAAAGTTTAAACGGTTGAAATCGGACAAAGTTTGAAGGAGGAGAAGCGGTCCAAAGAAACGTATGGGGAGAGTGTTAAGTATAATACTAGAAAAATTGCATTTCCTTGCAGAAAATGCGTGGAAATGCTGAGTGCTGAAGCTGAAAAAGCAATGCTAAACTGCTAATAAAACATGGAGAAAGGTATAAATGTTAAAGCTGTTGAAGGGGTGAGAAAGAAATGTAAGTTGGATAATTGATTAATTGGTTGAAGGACAAATAGTATGAATATGCTCTATAAAAGAAAATTTTATTCATGCTGAAAGAGGCTAGAAAAATGTCTAAAATTGCACAAAGTTTGAATGAAGAAGGAAATTGCCTTAAAAGGCAGGAAGGTGAGAAGTGGCATAAGTTTAAGTTTTTAAGTATAAGAAAGGTTTGAATCAGTTTGAATCAGTTCAAATTAGTTTGAAAAATTAAATGATAAATCATCACTGAGTGACTTTAAAATGTGAAAAATCTAAATGAATATAAATCCTAAATACACCCCATAATGTCCTCAATGAGCTTTCATTTTAAAGCCCTGAATGGTTTCTGTAGGTCAAAGGTCATGTGAGGAGATAGGGGCTGAAGTTTTTTCCAACGCTCTAGGAAAGGGTTTTAAGTGTCATCCCAATTGCTATGTGTACTGAGCCTGGCTTCATGTGTCTCATATGGCCACTAGAAGCAGCTTTCCAGTCAGCTGTGTGTCTCCAGGTGCACAAATTGGTTGCCATGGGGACCTTGGATGCATAACTATAGCAGGAGAAAGAAGGCTTGAAGCTAAAGAAACAGGACTCCAAGTAGGCCCTGACGCTCACCCTCTGTATATATTCATAAGGAGCTTGTGAGAACACAAGGCCTCTGCTGAACACATTAATACAATTTATTATCACAATCCTCAAAACACCCCATAATATCTTCAATGAGCTGAATTTTTGAAGCCCAGAATGGTTTCTGTAGCTCAAAGTTTGTGGGTGGAGATAGGTGGTGAAGCAGACACATATTAACTGTGTGTACAAGCAGCTGAACTGCAAGGTGGACCTCAAAAAGCAACAAGTACAAGAATGTGTGTGCGTGTGTGTGTGTGTGTCTCGTTAATGACTGCATCCTAAACAGCTGTGAGATCAAAGGCAAATCACTAACCTACTGTTTGACTGAGAGGTGCTGAACTGCAGTGAATTTCAGCCTGTGAACTTCTTCACATAGCGTGATTTCCTTAAGTCCCAGAATGAAAATAAGAACATCGTACGAATCCTCCGTCCTTCATGAACACAATGATGTGTTTTTCATGTCTGTACTTCGAAAAATGAGGCCACAACAGCGAGTTAAAAAAGTCTGAGCCTGAGCGATGATCCGGATTTTCTTGGAGAAAAATAACATTATGGTCAATGGGAGAGATTTCCGCCTTTTTTGGACAGTTGGTCACCTGCTGGCCAAGGGGTACGGTTTATTGATTTGAAACCTCTTTTGTGAGAAGCAGGACACATATACCTCCATTTTGATGTATTTTTTATGGGTGTGGAGTGAGATTTGAGAGCGTGGGAGCGATATATTCGAGCGAGGTTCTGTCGATCAGAGACGAGGTCTGCACTCTAGCTTTTCAAATCATCACTCTAAACTCTCCAATACACCCATTATAAAGCCTGAAATTTGCTGAAAACCACAAGTTGCTTAAAGCTAAATTGTGGAAAAACTGTAAAAGATAGCACAAAAAGGTTAATACAATATCAATAGTCGACAAGACAATGAACATTTTAAAGCAAAAATGAGGTCTCTAGGTGAAAGTATGCTGAAGTTATAAGGCTTAGAAGGTGGACGAATAACAGGAAGAATTGAAAGATTTCCCCATTCATTTCTATGGGAAAAAAAGTTTGGCACAAAAAGTGAAAAATAATAAAAAGTATAAAGGGTAGAAAAAAGAAAAGTAATAGCCATCATGTCCTGAAGGAGTGGAATCGTTTAAAGTTTGAACGGTTGAAATCGGACAAAGTTTGAAGGAGGAGAAGCGGTCCAAAGAAACGTATGGGGAGAGTGTTAAGTATAATACTAGAAAAATTGCATTTCCTTGCAGAAAATGCGTGGAAATGCTGAGTGCTGAAAGCTGAAAAAGCAATGCTAAACTGCTAATAAAACATGGAGAAAGGTATAAATGTTAAAGCTGTTGAAGGGGTGAACAGAAATATAAGTTGGATAATTGATTAATTGGTTGAAGGACAAATAGTATGAATATGGTCTATAAAAGGAAATTTTATTCATGCTGAAAGAGGCTAGAAAAATGTCGAAAATTGCACAAAGTTTGAATGAAGAAGGAAATTGCCTTAAAAGGCAGGAAGGTGAGAAGTGGCATAAATTTAAATTGTAGTACTAGAAGTAGTATGATAAGAAGTCAAGTCGTGACACTAGTAGTCATGTCAGCAGTAGAAGTAGATTGAGAATAAAAGAAGTATAAGTCAAAGTAGTAAAGAAAGTAGAAATAGGAGCAATAGCAGTTGAAGTAGAGGGGAAAGTTCTAGTTTAATTGACATTAGCAGTAGTTGTCGTACTTGAGGTAGGATTTTGTTTGAATGATGGAGTAATGCATAAATATTAAAACTAATATAAAACAGGGAAAATTTTATTAATTAAAAATCCTCAAGTATCAGAAAGTTTTTATGTATTAGAAAGGTTTGAATCAGTTTGAATGAGTTTAAATTAGTTTGAAAAATTAAATGATAAATCATCACTGAGTGACTTTAAAATGTGAAAAATTTAAATGAATATAAATCCTAAATACACCCCATAATGTCCTCAATGAGCTTAAATTTTAAAGCCCTGAATGGTTTCTGTAGGTCAAAGGTCATGTGAGGAGATAGGGGCTGAAGTTTTTTCAAGCGCTCTAGGAAAGGGTTTTAAGTGTCATCCCCAGTGCTATGTGTACTGAGCCTGGCTTCATGTGTCTCATATGGCCATTAGAAGCAGCTTTCCAGTCAGCTGTGTGTCTCCAGGTGCACAAATTGGTTGCCATGGGGACCTTGGATGCATAACTATAGCAGGAGAAAGAAGGCTTGAAGCTAAGGAAACAGGACTCCAAGTAGGCCCTGACGCTCATCCTCTGTATATATTCATGATAAGGAGCTTGTGAGAACACAAGATTTTGCTGAACACATTCATACAATTTATTATCACAATCCTCAAAACACCCCATAATATCTTCAATGAGCTGAATTTTTCAAGCCCAGAATGGTTTCTGTAGCTCAAAGTTTGTGGGTGGAGATAGGTGGTGAAGCAGACACATATTAACTGTGTGTACAAGCAGGTGAACTGCAAGGTAGACCTGACAATGCAACAAGTACAAGAATGTGTGTGTGTGTGTGTGTGTGTGTGTGTGTGTGTGTGTGTCTCGTTAATGACTGCATCCTAAACAGCTGTGAGATCAAAGGCAAATCACTAACCTACTGTTTGACTGAGAGGTGCTGAACTGCAGAGGATTTAGCCTCTGAACTTCTTCACATAGCGTGATTTCCTTAAGTCCCAGAATGAAAATAAGAACATCGTACGAATCCTCCGTCCTTCATGAACACAATGATGTGTTTTTCATGTCTGTACTTCGAAAAATGAGGCCACAACAGCGAGTTAAAAAAGTCTGAGCCTGAGTGGGGATAAGGATTTTCTTGGAGAAGAAATACATTAGGTCTAATGGGGAGAGATTTCCGCCTATTTGGACAGTTGGTCACCTGCTGGCCAAGGGGTACGATTTAATGATTTGAAACCTCTTTTGTGAGAAGCAGGACACATATACCTCCATTTTGATGTATTTTTTATGGCTGTGGAGTGAGATTTGTGGGCGTGGGAGCGATATATTCGAGCGAGGTTCTGTCGATCAGAGAGGAGGTCTGCACTCTAGCTTTTCAAATCCTCACTCTAGCCTATCCAATACACACCCATTATAAAGCCTGAAATTTGCTGAAAACCACAAGTTGCATAAAGCTAAATTGTGGAAAAACTGTAAAAGATAGCACAAAAGGTTAATACAACATCAATAGTCGACAAGACAATGAACATTTTAAAGCAAAAATGAGGTCTCTAGGTGAAAGTATGCTGAAGTTATAAGGTCTAGAAGGTGGACGAATAACAGGAAGAATTGAAAGATTTCCCCATTCATTTCTATGGGAAAAAAGTTTGGCACAAAAAGTGAAAAATAATAAAAAGTATAAAGGGTAGAAAAGAGAAAAGTAATAGCCATCATGTCCTGAAGGAGTGGAATAGTTTAAAGTTTGAACGGTTGAAATCGGACAAAGTTTGAAGGAGGAGAAGCGGTCCAAAGAAACGTATGGGGAGAGTGTTAAGTATAATACTAGAAAAATTGCATTTCCTTGCAGAAAATGCGTGGAAATGCTGAGTGCTGAAAGCTGAAAAAGCAATGCTAAACTGCTAATAAAACATGGAGAAAGGTATAAATGTTAAAGCTGTTGAAGGGGTGAAAAGAAATGTAAGTTGGATAATTGATTAATTGGTTGAAGGACAAATAGTATGAATATGCTCTATAAAAAGAAATTTTATTCATGCTGAAAGAGGCTAGAAAAATGTCTAAAATTGCACAAAGTTTGAATGAAGAAGGAAATTGCCTTAAAAGGCAGGAAGGTGAGAAGTGGCATAAGTTTAAGTTTTTAAGTATTAGAAAGGTTTGAATCAGTTTGAATCAGTTCAAATTAGTTTGAAAAATTAAATGATAAATCATCACTGAGTGACTTTAAAATGTGAAAAATCTAAATGAATATAAATCCTAAATACACCCCATAATGTCCTCAATGAGCTTAAATTTTAAAGCCCTGAATGGTTTCTGTAGGTCAAAGGTCATGTGAGGAGATAGGGGCTGAAGTTTTTTCCAACGCTCTAGGAAAGGGTTTTAAGTGTCATCCCCAGTGCTATGTGTACTGAGCCTGGCTTCATGTGTCTCATATGGCCATTAGAAGCAGCTTTCCAGTCAGCTGTGTGTCTCCAGGTGCACAAATTGGTTGCCATGGGGACCTTGGATGCATAACTATAGCAGGAGAAAGAAGGCTTGAAGCTAAGGAAACAGGACTCCAAGTAGGCCCTGACGCTCATCCTCTGTATATATTCATAAGGAGCTTGTGAGAACACAAGACTCTGCTGAACACATTAATACAATTTATTATCACAATCCTCAAAACACCCCATAATATCTTCAATGAGCTGAATTTTTGAAGCCCAGAATGGTTTCTGTAGCTCAAAGTTTGTGGGTGGAGATAGGTGGTGAAGCAGACACATATTAACTGTGTGTACAAGCAGCTGAACTGCAAGGTGGACCTCAAAAAGCAACAAGTACAAGAATGTGCGTGTGCGTGTGTGTGTGTGTCTCGTTAATGACTGCATCCTAAACAGCTGTGAGATCAAAGGCAAATCACTAACCTACTGTTTGACTGAGAGGTGCTGAACTGCAGTGAATTTCAGCCTGTGAACTTCTTCACATAGCGTGATTTCCTTAAGTCCCAGAATGAAAATAAGAACATCGTACGAATCCTCCGTCCTTCATGAACACAATGATGTGTTTTTCATGTCTGTACTTCGAAAAATGAGGCCACAACAGCGAGTTAAAAAAGTCTGAGCCTGAGCGATGATCCGGATTTTCTTGGAGAAAAATAACATTATGGTCAATGGGAGAGATTTCCGCCTTTTTTGGACAGTTGGTCACCTGCTGGCCAAGGGGTACGATTTAATGATTTGAAACCTCTTTTGTGAGAAGCAGGACACATATACCTCCATTTTGATGTATTTTTTATGGGTGTGGAGTGAGATTTGTGGGCGTGGGAGCGATATATTCGAGCGAGGTTCTGTCGATCAGAGACGAGGTCTGCACTCTAGCTTTTCAAATCATCACTCTAAACTCTCCAATACACACCCATTATAAAGCCTGAAATTTGCTGAAAACCACAAGTTGCTTAAAGCTAAATTGTGGAAAAACTGTAAAAGATAGCACAAAAAGGTTAATACAATATCAATAGTCGACAAGACAATGAACATTTTAAAGCAAAAATGAGGTCTCTAGGTGAAAGTATGCTGAAGTTATAAGGCTTAGAAGGTGGACGAATAACAGGAAGAATTGAAAGATTTCCCCATTCATTTCTATGGGAAAAAAGTTTGGCACAAAAAGTGAAAAATAATAAAAAGTATAAAGGGTAGAAAAAAGAAAAGTAATAGCCATCATGTCCTGAAGGAGTGGAATAGTTTAAAGTTTGAACGGTTGAAATCGGACAAAGTTTGAAGGAGGAGAAGCGGTCCAAAGAAACGTATGGGGAGAGTGTTAAGTATAATACTAGAAAAATTGCATTTCCTTGCAGAAAATGCGTGGAAATGCTGAGTGCTGAAAGCTGAAAAAGCAATGCTAAACTGCTAATAAAACATGGAGAAAGGTATAAATGTTAAAGCTGTTGAAGGGGTGAAAAGAAATATAAGTTGGATAATTGATTAATTGGTTGAAGGACAAATAGTATGAATATGCTCTATAAAAGGAAATTTTATTCATGCTGAAAGAGGCTAGAAAAATGTCTAAAATTGCACAAAGTTTGAATGAAGAAGGAAATTGCCTTAAAAGGCAGGAAGGTGAGAAGTGGCATAAGTTTAAATTGTAGTACTAGAAGTAGTATGATAAGAAGTCAAGTCGTGATACTAGTAGTCATGTCAGCAGTAGAAGTAGATTGAGAATAAAAGAAGTATAAGTCAAAGTAGTAAAGAAAGTAGAAATAGGAGCAATAGCAGTTGAAGTAGAGGGGAAAGTTCTAGTTTAATTGACATTAGCAGTAGTTGTCGTACTTGAGGTAGGATTTTGTTTGAATGATGGAGTAATGCATAAATATTAAAACTAATTTAAAACAGGGAAATTTTAAATTATCAAAAGTCCTCAAGTATCAGAAAGTTTTGAAGTATTAGAAAGGTTTGAATCAGTTTGAATGAGTTTAAATTAGTTTGAAAAATTAAATGATAAATCATCACTGACTGACTTTTAAAATGTGAAAAATTTAAATGAATAACAATCCTAAATACACCCAATAATGTCCTCAATGAGCTTAAATTTCAAAGCCCTGAATGGTTTCTGTAGGTCAAAGGTCATGTGAGGAGATAGGGGCTGAAGTTTTTTCCAACGCTCTAGGAAAGGGTTTTAAGTGTCATCCCAATTGCTATGTGTACTGAGCCTGGCTTCATGTGTCTCATATGGCCACTAGAAGCAGCTTTCCAGTCAGCTGTGTGTCTCCAGGTGCACAAATTGGTTGCCATGGGGACCTTGGATGCATAACTATAGCAGGAGAAAGAAGGCTTGAAGCTAAAGAAACAGGACTCCAAGTAGGCCCTGACGCTCACCCTCTGTATATATTCATAAGGAGCTTGTGAGAACACAAGACTCTGCTGAACACATTAATACAATTTATTATCACAATCCTCAAAACACCCCATAATATCTTCAATGAGCTGAATTTTTGAAGCCCAGAATGGTTTCTGTAGCTCAAAGTTTGTGGGTGGAGATAGGTGGTGAAGCAGACACATATTAACTGTGTGTACAAGCAGCTGAACTGCAAGGTGGACCTCAAAAAGCAACAAGTACAAGAATGTGTGTGCGTGTGTGTGTGTGTGTCTCGTTAATGACTGCATCCTAAACAGCTGTGAGATCAAAGGCAAATCACTAACCTACTGTTTGACTGAGAGGTGCTGAACTGCAGTGAATTTCAGCCTGTGAACTTCTTCACATAGCGTGATTTCCTTAAGTCCCAGAATGAAAATAAGAACATCGTACGAATCCTCCGTCCTTCATGAACACAATGATGTGTTTTTCATGTCTGTACTTCGAAAAATGTGGCCACAACAGCGAGTTAAAAAAGTCTGAGCCTGAGTGGGGATAAGGATTTTCTTGGAGAAGAAATACATTAGGTCTAATGGGGAGAGATTTCCGCCTATTTGGACAGTTGGTCACCTGCTGGCCAAGGGGTAGGATTTAATGATTTGAAACCTCTTTTGTGAGAAGCAGGACACATATACCTCCATTTTGATGTATTTTTTATGGCTGTGGAGTGAGATTTGTGGGCGTGGGAGCGATATATTTGAGCGAGGTTCTGTCGATCAGAGACGAGGTCTGCACTCTAGCTTTTCAAATCATCACTCTAGCCTCTCCAATACACCCCTATTATAAAGCCTGAAATTTGCTGAAAACCACAAGTTGCATAAAGCTAAATTGTGGAAAAACTGTAAAAGATATCACAAAGAGGTTAATACAACATCAATAGTCGACAAGACAATGAACATTTTAAAGCAAAAATGAGGTCTCTAGGTGAAAGTATGCTGAAGTTATAAGGTCTAGAAGGTGGACGAATAACAGGAAGAATTGAAAGATTTCCCCATTCATTTCTATGGGGAAAAAAGTTTGGCACAAAAAGTGAAAAATAATAAAAAGTATAAAGGGTAGAAAAGAGAAAAGTAATAGCCATCATGTCCTGATGGAGCGGAATAGTTTAAAGTTTGAACGGTTGAAATCGGACAAAGTTTGAAGGAGGAGAAGCGGTCCAAAGAAACGTATGGGGAGAGTGTTAAGTATAATACTAGAAAAATTGCATTTCCTTGCAGAAAATGCGTGGAAATGCTGAGTGCTGAAAGCTGAAAAAGCAATGCTAAACTGCTAATAAAACATGGAGAAAGGTATAAATGTTAAAGCTGTTGAAGGGGTGAAAAAGAAATATAGGTTGGATAATTGTTTAATTGGTTGAAGGACAAATAGTATGAATATGCTCTATAAAAGGAAATTTTATTCATGCTGAAAGAGGCTAGAAAAATGTCTAAAATTGCACAAAGTTTGAATGAAAAAGGAAATTGCCTTAAAAGGCAGGAAGGTGAGAAGTGGAATAAGTCTAAGTTTTTATGTATTAGAAAGGTTTGAATCAGTTTGAATGAGTTTAAATTAGTTAGAAAAATTAAATGATAAATCATCACCGAGTGACTTATAAAAGTGAAAAATTTAAATGAATATAAATCTGAATACACTCCATAGTGTCCTCAATGAGCTTAAATTTTAAAGTCCTGAATGGTTTCTGTAGGTCAAAGGTCATGTGAGGACATAGGGGCTGACGTTTTTTCAAACGCTCTAGGAAAGGGTTTTAAGTGTCATCCCCAGTGCTATGTGTACTGAGCTTGGCTTCATGTGTCTCATATGGCCATTAGAAGCAGCTTTCCAGTCAGCTGTGTGTCTCCAGGTGCACAAATTGGTTGCCATGGGGACCTTGGATGCATGACTTTAGCAGGAGAAAGAAGGCTTGAAGCTCAGGAAACAGGACTCCAAGTAGGCCCTGACGCTCATCCTCTGTATATATATTAATAAGGAGCTTGTGAGAACACAAGACTCTGCTGAACACATTAATACAATTTATTATCACAATCCTCAAAACACCCCATAATATCTTCAGTGAGCTGAATATTTGAAGCCCAGAATGGTTTCTGTAGCTCAAAGTTTGTGGGTGGAGATAGGTGGCAAAGCAGACACATATCAACTGTGTGTACAAGCAGCTCAACTGCAAGGTAGACCTCATAAAGCAACAAGTACAAGAATGTGTGTGTGTGTGTGTGTGTGTCTCGTTAATGACTGCATCCTAAACAGCTGTGAGATCAAAGGCAAATCACTAACCTACTGTTTGACTGAGAGGTGCTGAACTGCAGTGAACTTAGGGCCTGTGAACTTCTTCACATAGCGTGATTTCCTTAAATCCCAGAATGAAAATAAGAACATTGTACGAATCCTCCGTCCTTCATGAACACAATGATGTGTTTTTTATGTCTCTACTCCGAAAAATGTGGCCACAACAGCGAGTTAAAAAGTCTGAGCCTGAGTGGCGATAAGGATTTTCTTGGAGAAAAAATACATTAGGGCCAATGGGGAGAGATTTCCGCCTATTTGGACAGTTGGTCACCTGCTGGCCAAGGGGTAGGATTTAATGATTTGAAACCTCTTTTGTGAGAAGCAGGACACATATACCTCCATTTTGATGTATTTTTTATGGCTGTGGAGTGAGATTTGTGGGCGTGGGAGCGATATATTCAAGCGAGGTTCTGTCGATCAGAGAGGAGGTCTGCACTCTAGCTTTTCAAATCCTCACTCTAGCCTCTCCAATACACCCCTATTGTAAAGCCTGAAATTTGCTGAAAACCACGAGTTGCATAAAGCTAAATTGTGGAAAAACTGTAAAAGATAGCACAAAAAGGTTAATACAACATCAATAGTCGACAAGACAATGAACATTTTAAAGCAAAAATGAGGTCTCTAGGTGAAAGTATGCTGAAGTTATAAGGCTTAGAAGGTGGACGAATAACAGGAAGAAGTGGAAGATTTCCCCATTCATTTCTATGGGAAAAAAAGTTTGGCACAAAAAGTGAAAAATAATAAAAAGTACAAAGGATAGAAAGGAAAAAATACAAGCACACATGTCCTGATGGAGTGGAATAGTTTAAAGTTTGAACGGTTGAAATCGGACAAAGTTTGAAGGAGGAGAAGCGGTCCAAAGAAATGTATGGGGAGAGTGTTAAGTATAATACTAGAAAAATTGCATTTCCTTGCAGAAAATGCGTGGAAATGCTGAGTGCTGAAAGCTGAAAAAGCAATGCTAAACTGCTAATAAAACATGGAGAAAGGTATAAATGTTAAAGCTGTTGAAGGGGTGAAAAAGAAATATAAGTTGGATAATGGTCTAATTGGTTGAAGGACAAATAGTATGAATATGCTCTATAAATGGAAGTTTTATTCATGCTGAAAGAGGCTAGAAAAATGTCTAAAATTGCACAAAGTTTGAATGAAGAAGGAAACTTCCTTAAAAGGCAGGAAGGTGAGAAGTGGCATAAGTTTAAGTTGTAGTACTAGAAGTAGTATAATAGGTCAAGTCGTGATACTAGTAGTCATGTCAGCAGTAGAAGTAGTTTGAGAATAAAAGAAGTATAAGTCACAATAGTAGAGAAAGTAGAAATAGGAGCAATAGCAGTTGAAGTAGAGGGGATAGTACTAGTTTAATTGACATTAGCGGTAGTTGTCGTACTTGAGGTAGGATTTTGTTTGAAGGATGGAGTAATGCATAAATATTAAAACTTATTTCAAACAGGGAAAATTGAAATAATTAAAAATCCTCAAGAATCAGAAAGTTTTTAAGTATTAGAAAGGTTTGAATCAGTTTGAATGAGTTTCAATTAGTTTGAAAAAATAAATGATAAATCATCACTGAGTGACTTTAAAATGTGAAAAATTTAAATGAATATAAATCCTAAATACACCCCATAATGTCCTCAATGAGCTTAAATTTTAAAGCCCTGAATGGTTTCTGTAGGTCAAAGGTCATGTGAGGAGATAGGGGCTGAAGTTTTTTCAAGCGCTCTAGGAAAGGGTTTTAAGTGTCATCCCCAGTGCTGTGTGTACTGAGCCTGGCTTCATGTGTCTCATATGGCCATTAGAAGCAGCTTTCCAGTCAGCTGTGTGTCTCCAGGTGCACAAGTTGGTTGCCATGGGGACCTTGGATGCATAACTATAGCAGGAGAAAGAAGGCTTGAAGCTAAAGAAACAGGACTCCAAGTAGGCCCTGACGCTCACCCTCTGTATATATTCATAAGGAGCTTGTGAGAACACAAGACTCTGCTGAACACATTAATACAATTTATTATCACAATCCTCAAAACACCCCATAATATCTTCAATGAGCTGAATTTTTGAAGCCCAGAATGGTTTCTGTAGCTCAAAGTTTGTGGGTGGAGATAGGTGGTAAAGCAGACACATATTAACTGTGTGTAAAAGCAGCTGAACTGCAAGGTGGACCTCAAAAAGCAACAAGTACAAGAATGTGTGTGCGTGTGTGTGTGTGTGTGTGTCTCGTTAATGACTGCATCCTAAACAGCTGTGAGATCAAAGGCAAATCACTGACCTACTGTTTGACTGAGAGGTGCTGAACTGCAGTGAATTAAGGGTTCTGAACTTCTTCACATAGCACGATTTCCTTAAGTCCCAGAATGAAAATAAGAACATCGTACAAATCCTCCGCCCTTCATGAACACAATGATGTGTTTTTCATGTCTGTACTCCGAAAAATGTGGCCACAACAGCGAGTTAAAAAAGTCTGAGCCTGAGTGGCGATAAGGATTTTCTTGGAGAAAAAATACATTAGAGCCAATGGGGAGAGATTTCCGCCTATTTGGACAGTTGGTCACCTGCTGGCCAAGGGGTAAGATTTAATGATTTGAAACCTCTTTTGTGAGAAGCAGGACACATATACCTCCATTTTGATGTATTTTTTATGGCTGTGGAGTGAGATTTGTGGGCGTGGGAGCGATATATTCGAGCGAGGTTCTGTCGATCAGAGAGGAGGTCTGCACTCTAGCTTTTCAAATCATCACTCTAGCCTCTCCAATACACCCCTATTATAAAGCCTGAAATTAGCTGAAAACCACAAGTTGCATAAAGCTAAATTGTGGAAAAACTGTAAAAGATAGCACAAAAAGGTTAATACAACATCAATAGTCGACAAGACAATGAACATTTTAAAGCAAAAATGAGGTCTCTAGGTGAAAGTATGCTGAAGTTATAAGGCTTAGAAGGTGGACGAATAACAGGAAGAATTGGAAGATTTCCCCATTCATTTCTATGGGAAAAAAAGTTTGGCACAAAAAGTGAAAAATAATAAAAAGTATAAAGGATAGAAAAGAGAAAAGTAATAGCCATCATGTCCTGAAGGAGTGGAATAGTTTAAAGTTTGAACGGTTGAAATCGGACAAAGTTTGAAGGAGGAGAAGCGGTCCAAAGAAACGTATGGGGAGAGTGTTAAGTATAATACTAGAAAAATTGCATTTCCTTGCAGAAAATGCGTGGAAATGCTGAGTGCTGAAAGCTGAAAAAGCAATGCTAAACTGCTAATAAAACATGGAGAAAGGTATAAATGTTAAAGCTGTTGAAGGGGTGAAAAAGAAATATAAGTTGGATAATAGTTTAATTGGTTGAAGGACAAATAGTATGAATATGCTCTATAAAAGGAAATTTTATTCATGCTGAAAGAGGCTAGAGAAATGTCTAAAATTGCACAAAGTTTGAATGAAGAAGGAAACTGCCTTTAAAGGCAGGAAGGT